AAAATTAAATGTCAGTTTTATAAAACGTCGTTTTCTTTAGGAAAATTAATTAATTCATGCTTAAATCATACGAAAAAAGGAATTTGTTTAGGTTTTTTTAATGTCAAACATTTAGAAACTCCTAAAAAATTGCATTAAATTCACGTTTTTTGAACTTTTAACGTTTCAAATAATTATTATTAGTCTGGTCAAGATGGCTACCCGTGGATAATGATTATTATTCACCGCTATTATTCACTCCGTAAAAAATGACTACCATTTTGTTTTTGAAAACTCATTCATAAGGTATATATCATAAGGTAGTCATGGACAAAATAAATTAGGACATAAATAGTGTTAGGTAATATTTTTCTCTGCACTCGTAGGAATAGGTATGTAGAAATATTTATATTTTTTATTTTATATGTTCAAAGTGTCCACCATTATGGTTAATGCACAAGTGACATCTTTTTAAAACGGAATTTGTAGCTTTTCTAACGGAACGTCTATCAGTATTAGCAAAAGCTTCTAATACAGCTTCTAGAAGGTCATCTACTGTGTCGTACGACCTTTGATACACTTTATCTTTTAGCATACCCCATAAATAAAAATCTAAGACTGATAGATCGGGGGATCGAGGTGGCCATGCAACCGGCGCGTTTCTTCCTCTCCATGAGTTTGGGAATGTTCGATTTAAATGATTTCGTATAGTTAACTTATTATGTGGTAGCGTCCCATCGTGTTGAAACCATTTAAGCAAATGACGTGTCTCCAGGATCAATTCATCCAACATATTATCGAACTCGTTTTGTAGAAAGGACCAAGAATTGTTGAACAAATGACACCGCACCAAACATTAAATCCAAACTTAACTTGAGGTCCCCTCTGTTGAACATGATGCGGATTTTCCTGCATCCATAAATGTAGATTATGTCTATTAAACATGCCGCAGTTTGTAAATCGTATTTATCCGTCTACAAAACTTTAAATCTAAACTGTGGATGAGCTTCACACATGTTAATAAACCACGTACAATATTCTACACGCTTATTGTAGTCATGTGGGTGTTGGGTTTGTGTAACTGCCATTTTGTATGGATGATATCTGTTTTTTTTTTAATTCTTACGACAGTACGTTGCGATGTGCCTACTTCAGCTGCAACTTGTCTTGTTGAAACCGATGGATCTTGATAGCTTCGTACTAATATGTTTACTTCTATCTCTTCATTAACGCCTCTTGCATCTTTAGTTGGTTTACAGAAAGAACCATACTCGCCCAAATTATCATACAACCTCTTAAACGTAGGTAGAGACGGCTGGCGATGATCGAAATATTGTTCAAAATATTGTTCTGCAGCTTGTACTGTATTTTTACGGCATACAATGTAACACTCAATAATTAATATCACGCTTTTCTTGATTAGAAAAATTCATATTAATTATAATTTACACAACCTCAATCAACGTTAATTAGCAACTAATCGAAGCCTTAAGCTGTCATAACCAAACGTATCAATTGTTTCCATAGCGTACTACCTGAACAGTTTGCAAATTAAAAGAATAAATGGCTATAATTTATTTATTAATAAAAATATCCATGTCAAGTGGTATATCATTAGAATCGTTGAGAAAAGGCCTTTTTTATAAAGTCATGGCCAACTATGGTTTCCGTTAGAAAAATTACAAGCTTGTGTCATAACTCAAAAATTATTGTTTAAATAAAAAAATCAGTTAGACTGCAAATTTTTCCTTTACACATTTTTCCTAAAATCAATAATAGCGGAGCCATAGATATCGAATGATATAACAAAAAAATGGGTTTTTCGAGATATCTAGTTAGCCATGCATTTTATCCAAAAAACAAAAAGCTCATTAAATTGAGTTCATGAAACTGCAATTCTTTCCCTATTTAATCGTCTCTCTATCTCCGCTACTTTTCAAGATCTCCATACTAAACATGGAAAAAAACTCACCCTGTATAATCTTCTTTTTTTGCATATGATTACACAGCTATTCGAAATAAGAAAACTCGGGCAGAAACGGGTTAAAATAAATTTTTAATAATTTTAATTATTAATAAATCTCAATTTGGTTGTTTTCACAAAATTAACTATTAAAATGTTTATGTCATTTATTTTTCCTTCATTTCACAGAATTAAAAATTAAAATCATTAATAATTTAGTATTTAACTTAGTTCTCACTGAATCCACTCGATTAATTCGATTACCATTATTAATAAGTTCCTTATAAAAGCACCCGAACAAATTAAATCAACAAACGTTTCTTACAATATGTCAAAACAGCAAGAAAAATTTTTCGATTTTAATAAATTTTGGTTTAAATGTTTTGGATTATGGGTCCCAGACGAAAAAGAGAAATCCTACAAACTTTTAATTTACACTTACAACGCGATTATAGTATCGTACTCGGTTATTTTATTCACGATCGCGCAAATTATAAGTATTCTCGATATTAATAACGATCGCGCGACGTTTATCAAAAATATAAACCTCGTTTCGAGTTTTTGCGTTACGAATTATAAAGTGTACATTTGGTTTTCGCGCAGAAAAGAGTTTCTGAGATTGTTTGAATTTGTCGAGGATAGTTTTAGTATTTTCGAGGAACACGATGATTTTAAACCGAGCTATATAATCGCGAAAAGACAACGTTTTAAAGATAATTTTCTAAAAGGATATTTGGGTTTGTCTTATTTCATATCATTTTTTTGTTTACTCAACGAGGTAACTCAAGTTTTATTGTCTGGGGAGAAATATTTCGTTTATTCCAACGAAACTGTAAGATTCGATTGTGATGTTGAGATACCATTTCAATGTTGGCTTCCTTTTGATCCTTTCCAATCGAAAATTAAACATTTTTTTGGGGTTTTTATGCAAGTTGTCGCTGTTATTCTTGGTGGATCAATTACAGTTTGTAAGAAATAAATATTTTTTTTATTTTTATGATTTATTTGATTTTTTTTAAGGTGTGGATACTTTGTATATGAGTGCCGTTTTGGGAGTTACAATTCATTTTGAGTTGTTACAAGGTGGGTTTAGAACAATTCGTGAAAATTGCGCTAAAAAGCTCGGGATAAGTGGCGATTTTATTCGGGATCCCCCCGAATTAATCGAAATGACGGATAATAAAATGAAAAAGTTAGTTATTCATTTACAAAAAGTCTTAACGTTTTGCGACTTACTCGAAGATCTCTACACTATTACGATTTTATCGCAACTTTTAATTTCAATGGTTGCTCTTTGTACCTGTTTATTTTTAGTGTCTGAAGTAAGTTGAAATTAAAAAAAAAATTATTTACAGTTGCTCACAAAATTGAATATACAGGGGAATAGAAGATGGGAGAAAGTTTGTGATGTATATGTTACCGTGTAAAACCGAAATCTGGTAATTGTTGACATCCTTAGTAAATGTGGACAATCAGGAAGTCGATTTAGAAGAAACAAGATTCCGACGAAGGACTATAATATGTAAAAGAATATATCAAAAGTGCATGGTCTAAAAAGGGACATTCGCAAAATCAAGGTTATATATTGCAGAAACGGAAAAAGAAGATTTGAGAAGAAATAGAAGACATTTCCAAAGACTACCAAATTGACAAATCGGCGAACAGATCTCGGATGGTCCGAGCGAACCTCAATATATGGAAGAGGCCGAAACCAAGACAAATATAGATGAAGAAATATAGAGTTCCATTAAAGTTAAGACTTTGTTAAATAAATTATAGTGTGGACGAAGTATGGATGTACCGTGGTAGGTCTGTATGTTAGGCAACTAAATGTGCAATATGCATATGTATAAAACAAGCTGTAACTTGTAACAGTGATAAATAAAGAAGTGTCGTTCAAGGCGACAACAAACATACATATCGTAACCGACGAGGAGGAAAATTCAAGTCAATTCTTGAGAAGAGGTATGAGGAGTCGCAGTATCCATTGACCAACCTGAACAGGAAGCGAACATCACTGATAAATGATATGCCATATGATAGATTTGGCAGACAGACAAATAATCTGTATAAGAATGACGGAACCGATAGGAAAGGTGTTTCAGAAACCTAATCTGAACTCTCTCTATTCTATTAACATAATCATCATAGTGAGGATTCTAAACAGTACTTCAGAAACATAAAATACTATTTACAAAGGATAGAAATTATAAACAATGCGTTAGTAAAAGATTCGGACGAACGCATTACAAATAATAATAATAATAAACTTTATTTTTCGCAAATTTTACAAAGACAAAGATAATCACATAATGTCACACGATTTTCAAGCCGAACCCATACAGAAAAAAGAAAGAAGGGCAAAGAAACTATGCCATAATAGCGTGATCCGTGGTGAACCAGCCTCTCATGTATGTAAACTCGCACATCGACATAAGTAATATGACAAATAATATAATAACAAAAGCGCAAGAAAGGAAGATAGTGATAAAGAATAATAAAAAGTCAAAATAATGTTTTCCGAGAAGAAAGAAAATTAAAATCAAATCCCAGAACGCTCATAGAGGAAGCACTTGTATTTCCGCTTAAACACCACTACCGGTAGACTTTTTAATTCCTCCGGCAGAGAATTATATACATTCACAATCTGATATGAAAAACCTCGTTTGAAAAATTGATTCCTGTGTTGTGGAATTTCACAGAGTCCCCTCTGTCGCAGATTCAGATTGTGAATGTCACCTAATTTTGTTGTACAAGTAACCAGGCAGCCTAGATGTTATAATTTTGTGAAATATAGTAGAACAATGAAGTAAACGTCTGGTGTACATGTTGAGGAAAAAGGACCATAAAGGACCACGCTCCGACCCAAAAAGCATCGCCGCACATTTGGTCGGACTCAGACATAAGCAGTGTTCCCTTGAAAAGGATGACACAGCTTCGAGATCACTATTAATGATTTCAGTAGCCACCAGAGCGTCAGATGGGTAGAAGGAGTAATAAATTTGTGTATTACAACCTAGCATCCTATTAGCTCTAGTCACAACTTCATCAACGTGTTTGTGAGAGACGTGGTACTAAATCCGAATGTTTCTAGTTCTCGGTCTAGTGCTAGTTTTAATGGCAGTGGTAGGTAGCGCTGGTTAGCGTAAGATATTACTATGTTGTATACTTTTATTGAACTAAAACTAGAACAAGAACTAGAAATATTCGGGTTTAGTCGTGAAAAAAACTGTCAGTTGTTAAGGTCAACTTAAATTTTTGTATTATATTCGTAATCTTCATAAAATAACCTTTAAAATGAGGCCAAACATGACGCAATATCTCAAAAAAACAAAAAGTTCGAACTTTCACTATTAATTTTGAAATATTTGTCAAGTTCATAAAAAATCCTTTAAAATGAGTCCAAACTCGACATATTTAACATTGATATTAATGGAAATACGATCACTTCCGGTTTGAAACGTCAACATCAATTTTGACATATTTGTCATCTTCATTAAAAAACCTTTAAAATGAATCCAAAGATGACGCACTTATCTCAAAAAACAAAAAAGTTAGAATAAAATACATTAAACCCGAAGTTAGCAACAATGAAGATAGCAATTTAATTTTTAAATATTAATACCAACCTTAATTTTTTATTTTTTTTATTATATTTTTGTGACTAATATTAAGACANACCGTTCTTAAAATGTTCACAAAAAATTAAGTGTGTGTTCGCCCACAAAAATAAACAGTTAATCATAGTTAACTCAGTTTCAAATCAGTTTCATAATAATTTGTTTTTTATAGTGAACACTTCCTGCTGTAAGAAATCTTTTGATTAAACGCCAACAAGTGCTACTTTGAAATCCAGCATTTGGAAATTTTTCACTAAATAAAGCAATAACCATATTTATCGGTTTTTCCCCGGTTCCATAATAATAAAGTGTATTTAAAAAACACTTTAAGTTTACTAAATTACAGTTTGACACATTAACATTGACAGGAAAGCAATTTTGTTCTTGCATGGCAGTCTTTGTTAGAAATAAAATTGTTTGATATGGATTTGTATCAAAGTAGGCCGATCATTCCGAAAATTTGCATATGGCCATAGTTTTTCATTCTGAATAAAACTTCTTAGTAACACTTTCACGTACTGTAAACAGAAAAGGTACTTTGCCTGCCACAAAAAGTCAAGGCTCACTTGTTTTTTAAAAATTGATAATATGTTCAACAGTACTCTTTATCAAGCAGGTTAGCTCTGCCCAAAAAATCACAATTAATATCGAAAAAAATTTACCTTTTATAAGAGTCGTTTCACCTATCCGGGGACACACTGTATATAATACAAGCTGTAACTTGTAACAGTGATAAATAAAGAAATGTCGTTCAAAGGGATAACAAACACACATATCGCAACCGACGAGGAGGAACATTCAAGTCAATTCTTGAGAAGAGATATGGGAAGTCGCAGTATCCATTGACCAACCTGAACAGGAAGTGAACATCACTACATCTACGCTGTTGAAGCGTGGCCATATGATAGATTTGGCAGGCAGACAAATAATTTATATAAGGATGATAAGGGAATCGATAGGAAAGGTGTTTCAGAAACCTAATCTGAACTCTCTCTATTCTATTAACATAAACATCATAGTGAGGATAACATAAAATAGTATTTACAAAGGATAGAAATTATAAGCAATGCGTTAGTAAAAGATTCGGACGAACGCATTACAAATCCTAGCATCCTATTAGCTCTAGCCACAACTTCATCAACGTGTCTATTAAAGACGTGGTACTAAATCCGAACGTTTCTAGTTTTCGGTGTAGTGTTAGTTCTATTGGCAGTGGTAGGTAACGTCAGTTAGCATAAGATATTACTATGTTCGGGTTTAGTCGTGAAAAAAACTCTCAGTTGTCAATGTCAACTTTAATTTTATTATATTTGTAATCTTCATAAAATAACCTTTAAAATGAGGCCACACATGACGCAATATCTCAAAAAAACAAAAAGTTCGAACTTTCAACTATTAATTTTGAAATATTTTTCAAGTTCATAAAAAATCCTTTAAAATGAATCCAAACTCGACGTATTTAACTTTGATAGCAATGGAGATACAATCACTTCCGGTTTGAAACGTCAACGTCAATTTTGACATATTTGTCATCTTCATTAAAAAACCTTTAAAATGAGTTCAAAGATGACGCACTTATGTCAAAAAACAAAAAAGTTAGAATAAAATACATTAAACCCGAAGTTAGCAACAATGAAGATACAATTTAATTTTTAAATATTAATACCAACCTTAATTTTTTATTTTTTTTTATTATTTTTTGTGACTAATATTAAGACATTTTATAAAAATTAAGAATATCTCAAAATGACATTGACATTTTAAACCGGAACTTGCTTATGTCTTGAGTAATATTGGAATTAAACGTATGTTTGGACTCATTTTAAAGGATTTTTCACGACGATTACAAATATGTCAAAATTGACGTTGACATTCTTAACAGGAAGTTGACCATAATTTCATTAATATTGAAGATAAATATGTCGTGTTTGTACTCATTTTAAAGGATTTTTAATGAAGATTACAAATATGTCAAAATTGAGGTTGACATTTTAAACCTGAAGTTAGTTATCATATAATAGAAGTTTTATAACTGAAGTTAATCTAGTGTTAGTCACTTTTCCGCAGTTTCTTTTTATTTTTAACGTGTTTTTTGGGTCATTTCACATTGATTAAAGAAAAATCGTCGATGTTTAAGCCACATGATCGAACTGACCAAGCGGATTCTGTGCTTGTGATGGCTGTCATCAAACAATTTTCAATGATTTGAGCCTGTCTATTCTGAGAAGTCATATTTTTAGAGAGATGAAAACGAAAATCCCGTTTTTCTCAACATTGTCGCATCATTTCATTTGACGCTTAGTCAAGTGATGCATAACGCGATACAATTCATCATTAGTAACGTAGTAATGAATGGTCGCTTCTCTGGTTTTAATGGGACAATCAACATTTCTGACCGGAGAATGTTGACATTCACGAATTTCGGTGATTTACAGTAACATATATATATCACAAACTTTAGAATAAATTAATAATTATTTGAAAAATTCACAATTATCTATCTTCTATTCCCGTGTATACTCAATTTTATGAGCAAACTGTATTTAATAAACGATTTTTTTAGGTACCTATGAGTTCCGAGTTAATACCACAAATATTTTATTTATTATGCGTTGAAAATCAAATCGCTCTGTATTGTTACGCAGCTAATGAACTAACATTAAGCGTAAATAATAGGAAGAAATCGTTAAATTTAAGTTAATAATTAAGAATTTTTTAGGCTTCGCTGATTCCTCAATCTCTTTACGAGTCAAATTGGTTATCAACGAGTAATAATTTCAAAAATTCTATAAGATTAACAATGTTAAGGATGTCGGAACCGGTTTATTTAACAATCGGGAAATTTATGCCGTTAACTTTGAGCACGTTTGTAAGCGTAAGTATTCATTTTTTTTTTTTTTTTGATTAATAATTAACATTGTATCTCTTTTTTTTAGATTGGACGAATAAGTTATTCGTTATTAGCCGTTTTAAAGCGTTAATTATTTAAGTTGATACAACTTGACACCTAATGAGTAGATAACACATTTCTAGACATAAAATTATAGTTTTTCTCAAAAAAATAAAAATCTAAATTTTATATCGATTGTACGGATTCAATCACGTCATATCTGAGAGGTGAAACGAACTCACATCAAATTATAAAATACAGTGTGTTAATTAATTATAAACCAATATCGCGATTTGCGCATTGCAATACCAATACTGTGAGATTGGTTGCATACTTGCAATGATGACGTTGGGTACGATAATTAATTAACACACTGTATAAATAATAATAAAATTCACCCACACAAAATAAAAACTTACAAATTGATATATAAAAACATTAAGCATTTTAATACCCTCTAGTTATATTTAGTTATTGAAGGTAATAAACAGTACATTCACAATTGTTCTATTTTATTGATAATTTCAACGAGATTTTGAGTTGTTTCCGATACTCAATTCCAATTTCCATCTCATCGTTTTAATTAAAAAGTATTATTATAGTTTTATTTCATATTTTTTTAATTATCCTTTACATTACATTACATTACATAGAATACATATCGGGTAGGCGGACCAACCAACCTTGCACCGCGACCCTAAGGATCTATTGTACCCCGATAGATATCGTTATCAAATTTCACCGTGCAGTCCAATGCTCTTAACGAACATTAATACCTTGCTCGGCGAAAGGTCATTCAGATCTTTTGAGGAGATAAACTGCGACCCAAAAATCGAGAATCTGATACGGTTAACGGCAGGGCAGTGGCATAAAACATGCTCAACCGTCTCTGCTTCCTCCGCACATAGTCGGCATTCAACATCGTCGGCTAAACCCAACAAGTTGAGGTGTGCTTTTAATCGGCAGTGCCCAGTAAAAACACCCATTAGAACTTTTATGCTACTACGGGCAAGTCCTAAAATATTCCCGGGTTTGACAGTGGCGATGTTAATAAACACCTTAGCATGTCTCATTCCAGGAGAACTGGTCCACAGTAGGCGAAGTCTCTCTTCAGCCCACAGTCCAATCCTATATTTGGCCATCGCAAATGATACACCAACTGCTGGTTCCGGTCCCACAAACGCTTCAGCGCTGCCATCTCGTGCTAGCTTATCTGCCGCTTCATTGCCAGCAACCCCAGAGTGACCCGGGACCCAGATCAGAGAGACTCTGTTATCACAACTCAGTGTGTTTAATGTTCTCTTACAATCATTAACCAGAGCCGACACCGTTTTCACGGCTTGCAGCGCCTGGAGAGCGGCTTGACTGTCTGAGAAAATTCGTACTGTCATGTTCTTCACCCCTCTTTCAAGAAGGATTTTAGCACCCATGTCAATAGCAAATACTTCCGCCTGGAATACAGTACAGTACGTACCCAGGCTGTAGGCTTGCTTAATTCGAGGTGTCTGGCAGTATACTCCTGCTCCTACCCCTTCAGGCGTTTTTGATCCATCTGTGTACAAGCAAATGTCTGCCCGAACCAGAGAATTTTCATTTTCGATCCAGGACTGCCGCTCAGGCAGTACAATCTGGTATCGAGCATTAATCACTGATAGTGATACCGCCAAATCTGACGGCATTGATAGCACAGTATCAGTGCTTATAATGTCTTCCGCAGCCCATTGGTAGGACATGTCGGAACAGTTTTGAGCATATTGCTTAAATCTGTAAATGGTTGTTCTAGCCACTTTCTCTATATGCAAATGCAGAGGAGATAGGCCAAGCAGAACCTCCATTGCTAGAGTTGGCGTTGTGCCTATCGCACCAGAGACTAATTATCCTTTAAATAAATATCTGCAAATTCATATTACATATAATAGTACACCCACACTGGATTATATTTGTTTAATTCTCTACAAGCATTTCTACAAGATATGATGCTGTCAGAGCGTTAGAAAATGTTATGGCAATACTACAAAGTTTTAGTGAGAATACAAATGAAAATAATTTAAAAAAGCTAGAAAAAACAATTTTAACAGTGTTTTGGGAGGAAATTTTCTTAGAGAGATTTAATGCAATTGGCAACAAGTTGCAAATCCCAAGCTTAGACATACGTAAAGGAGTGAGAATTACTCTTATCTTGTTACTTTTTATTTCATGTGATAGCGCATTATACAATTTCACGACTAGGTAGTGGTAAGTTTTTTGTGATTTTGCCACTCTGTGAAACGGAATTACAATATTTTCCTTGTAGCAGGTGTTGTGATCGTGTTTGTCTGGATTGTTTTGTAGCGAGTCTTTTTTGTTGTGAATATACTCAAGGCAGGTAAGTATAAAACAGCATGGCAAGGTGATTTATCGGTTACCTCATCATTATGTTTTGTGTAAAAGGTTACGGAAAACCAGTGCTCTCCCTTTTCAATGTTTTGTTTTTTCTTCAAGCTTCTTGATGTCACTACTTCTTGTAACGAAAGATGTGTCATCCGCAACAACGGTAAGGCCTAGAGGTTTGCGAAAAAAAATCCTTATAGGCAACGTGGGCAAGAGAAATAGCTGGAAATTATTTTGAAGTTCGTAATTCGACCGCTAGGAGGCGTAACTGCCATAGAGAATCATAAAATTCTCGCTATCTCAAAAAGTTAGACGATGGGCTAAAGCTTTAACAACATCATTTAGTAGCATTTAGTATTTCACAGATCCTTGGTCACCATAAAATTTGCTAAATGTTAGTGAAAACCGCATCTCGATATCTCCATCCATTCTCGAATTATAGAAGAAAATGTCCTGTATATGAAGAATAGTAGTGGTCCCAAAATCGAACCCTGGGGTACTCGGTACTCCTACTGCCACTTCTCTCTAAGATAATTGTTGACCTCGCGAAAAAACTGATTGTTTTCTTCCTTGCAAATATGATGCTAGAAATTTCAATGCATTTTCTCTTACTCCATATTTTTGTAGTTTGCCCAATAACATTGAATGGTTCACCAAATCGAAGGCTTTGGTTAAGTCGCAGAATGCAATTTGACTGAACTTTTGTTGATCAAAACCGTGGATAGCTTCTATTACGCTGAGTAGGGCAGTTATTGCAGACCTTGACATATGTATTTGTAATCTTCATTAAAAATCCTTTAAAATGAGTACAAACACGACATATTTATCTTCAATATTAATGAAGTTATGGTCAACTTCCGGTTAGAAATGTCAATGTCAATTTTGACATATTTGTATTAAAATTGTCGTGAAAAATCCTATAAAATGAGCCCAAACATGATACGTTAAATTCCAATATTAGTCGAGATGTAAGCAACTTCCGGTTTGAAATGCCAATGTAATTTTGATAAATTCTTAATTTTTATAAACAGTCTTAAAATTTATCACAAAAACAAAAATACAACAAAAAAAATAAAAAATTAAGGTTGGTATTAATATTTAAAAATTAAATTGCTATCTTCATTGTTGCTAACTTCGGGTTTAACGTTCTTTTATTCAAACGTTTTTGTTTTTTGAGATAAGTGCGACATGTTTGGACCCATTTTAAAGATTTTTTAATGAAGATGACAAATATGTCAAAATTGACGTTGACGTTTCAAACCGGAAGTGATTGAATTTCCATTAATATTAAAGTTAAATATGTCGAGTTTGGACTCATTTTAAAGGATTTTTTATGAAGTTGACAAATATGTCAAAATTAAAAGTTGAAAGTTGGAACTTTTTGGTTTTTTGAGATAAATGGGTCAAGTTTGGACTCAGTTTAAAGGTTATTTTATGAAGATTACGAATATAATAATAATATTAAAGTTGACAGTGACAACAGAAAGTTTTTTTCACGACTAAACCCGACTGTTTCTAGTTTTGGTACTACTTTTAGTTCAATAAAAATATAGAACATAGTAATATCTTATGCTAACTAGCGCTACCTACCACTTCCTCTGCCACTAGAACTAACACTAGACCTAGAAATATTCGGGTTTAGCCGTGCGTCTTCAGACTTTTCACTTACCTTGCTTATAATTTCATCCATTTACCCATTTTGAATTAAATACAACCTTTAAATCCAGTTAATTATGTGTTTTTCATTAAAAAAACTTAAATTCAACGGCAATTTTGATAAGCAGCTGCAATATTTGGATTGTAATCACCATGGTAACTGAGTCAAATTAGATAACCTAACAATAATAAAATTATAACTGTTAATATTTCGCGTCAATTCTCCAATGACGTCACAGCAAGGCTTTTGCGGGGGGATACATTCATAATATATGGAGCTGGATAACCTTATACAGTATGTTTACTCAACGGATCTTGGGTTCAACGCTTGAGTAAACGAATACAAAAATAAATAAATAAATTTTAACAAAACTCTCAGTAAAATAATTAATATTATCTTTAAACTTTGTAGTTAATTCGAAGTAAATTAATTAACCAGTTTTAATAATTGAATTATACGTAAAGAAATTGTAATAACATAACCAAACAAAATAATAACTCAAATTAATCGTATTTAAGGTAAGTGAAATCAAAATAAAAACAACGAATAATAATGAAATTGAAAATTATAACTTAGCTTAATCTTGTAGATTACCGAAGTACTTGGATAAGGAAACTTGGACTCTTCAAAAGGAATCGGTAACAATGATTCTTGATTGGAATAATTCTTCAGAATGGTATACTGGATTAATTGGTTCAGGAGCCTGTTAATTTTCTTGTTTATTATTAAAGGTGAATAATTTTAATTCAAATAATCTTCTTATTTAACTTATTAAATAATAAGTTTACTATTTTTGAGGTTATGTCACAATGGTTATTGACAATTAACCTAACTTTTGTTTTGGTTTTTTTAAATAATAAGCGTGCACTCTTCATCACCTTCAAAATCACACTAAAATCAACCAGTTTCGTTTGTTTAATGCTACAACCTCTTAAATAACGTCTTCTGATTGGTTAAATCTTTCAACTTGAAATTCGTAATTTAAATTTTTCCGGTATGGCCAACTTTGCAATGTCAAATGTCACCAATTAATTTTTTTCAAAAATTATTAAAATTTCTATATTAATAATATTTATGTATGAAATGTTGTGGTTTTGTTGCTTTCATTTTGTTTGTGCTGATTTCGGAACATTTTCTTTTAGATTTCAACGTCCAGCTTCAAAAATACATTCAATTATTTAACACACGGATTTTCGTCCAATTCTTCATCAAAACTCCCATATGATGGATGGTTTTCGTTCTTGACATGCTAAGATTATCGTTTTCAATCGTTTTAACCGGACAAACATGAATTACAATAAGAAATTAATGAAAAATGAAATTTGAGGTTATGTTGCTGTCAAAATTCTACAAAATTACTTCGTATTAACTTTGGATGGATTAAATACAATAAAAAACATAAACGGCCAACAATACATAAAGAAGATATTTACAACATTTTAAAACTCTATTACATTATTAAAAATGAGGTTATGTTTTAAAATCTTGTAAAATAAAGGTTCTATATAATAATCAAGTTTATTTGAAACATTTTAGGCTTAAGCATAAATAAATATACTTAAATATGCTTATTTAACCATGAAATATATTTAGAAACTTCACAATAAGCCGTAGGAGATCCATTCAAATCGCAGGGATTAACAGCGAAGGAAACAACCCCTAAAATCGTTCCATTTTGCACCAAGGGGCCACCACTATCACCTTGACAAGCATATGTATCATCCCCTTTAGTGCAAATATTGTTATCATCTAATGGACCAAACGTTCCAATTGCATAAAGAAAGTCACTTTTGCATTCTAAAAGAGGAAAAATTAATCCATTTTGAAGCAAAATTAATATTTTTACCATCTAAATTAATCAAGCTCATCTCTGCGAACATCAAACTATTTGAATAACTCGGAATTAAGCTCTTCCTTCTTCCCCAACCTGTTAAAACAGCTTTTCCAGTAAAAGTTTCATTCTCAAGTGGTAATCTAATTGGTTGGATTCCATCAGAAAACAATAAATCTTGTTCTAATCGCAAAATGGCTAAATCGTGCGATGTTACAGTTCCATTTTCGCTTTAAAATTGCAAATAATTAACTTATTTTTGAGTTAAAAAAACTTACTCGTTGTAATTGGGATGAATAATAATTCGTTGAACTTTAATGGTTTCTCCTATACTTAAAGAATCGTTTAGATGTAAAATACCAACTCGAATTTGTAAATTATCGGTTTGAATACAATGAGCGGCGGTTAAAACGTGGTTTTTATTTAAGATGGTCCCCCCACAAAAATGTTCGAAGACGTTTTTTGGTTGTAAATGTTGTTGTACAGAGACTTGGTAAGGAAATTGGTTTATCTTGGCGAATTTGCCGTTAATAATTCGGTGGTGAGCTTAAAATTGATTATTTTTAATCGAATAAAGTAAAAATTAAATAATTACCTAAAGAAATTGTTAAAAATGTTGAAATTATAAGGATTTCAGTTAAAGATTTCATCATGGTTTGGAGAAGTTTATAAAACTGGGAACTTGAGAATGAGGATTCCTAAAAGATTCCGTTATCTTTATTTTAGGAAAGTTTATACCGGTTTTTTATTGCATATTTTAATTTGACCGCGTTATACATCACTTGACTAAGCTAAATTTGATCGTTTTTAGAGATTTTCATACTGTCTGGTAGGTAAAGGTGTAACTTATCTTAGAAAAAATGCATTTATCTCAAAAAACCAAAAAGTTCGAACTTTCAACTATTAATTTTGACATATTTGTCAACTTCATTAAAAATCCTTTAAAATGAGTCCAAACTCGACATATTTAACTTTGATATTAATAGAGGTACAATCACTTCCGGTTTGAAACGTCAACGTCAATTTTGAGATAGTCGTCATCTTCATTAAAAAAGCTTTGAAATGAGTCCAAACAAGACGCACTTATCTCAAAAAACAAAAAAGTTAGAATAAAATACATTAAACCCGAAGTTAGCAATTTAATTTTTAAATATTAATACCAACCTTAATTTTTGTTATTTTTTTATTATATTTGTGTTTTTGTGACAAATATTAAGACATTTTATAAAAATTAAGAATATGCCAAAATGACATTGACATTTCAAACCGGAAGTTGCTTATATCTCGACTAATATTGGAATTAAACGTATCATGTTTGGACTCATTTTAAAGGATTTTTCACGACGATTACAAATATGTCAAAATTGACGTTGACATTCTTAACCGGAAGTTGACCATAACTTCATTAATATTGAAGATAAATATGTCGTGTTTGTACTCATTTTAAAGGATTTTTAATGAAGATTACAAATATGTCAAAATTGAGGTTGACATTTTAAACTTGAAGTTAGATATCATATAATAAACAAATGGACAACTTCATGGTGTGCTTTCATGATGTATTGTTTATTGAAAAACCTTTAAAATGAGTGTACACATGACGTATTTATCTCAAAAAAACAAAAAGTTCGAACTTTCAACTATTAATTTTGACATATTTGTCAACTTCATAAAAAATCCTTTAAAATGAATCCAAACTCGACATATTTAACTTTGATATTAATGGAGATACAATCACTTCCGGTTTGAAACGTCAACGTCAATTTTGACATATTTGTCATCTTCATTAAAAAACCTTTAAAATGAGTCCAAAGATGACGCACTTATCTCAAAAAACAAAAAAGTTAGAATAAAAAACATTAAACCCGAAGTTAGCAACAATGAAGATAGCAATTTAATTTTTAAATATTAATACCAACCTTAATTTTTGATTTTTTTTTTTTATTTTCGTTTTTGTGACTAATATTAAGACATTCTATAAAAATTAAGAATATGTCAAAATGACATTGACATTTCAAACCGGAAGTTGCTTATATCTCGAGTAATATTGGAATTAAACGTATCATGTTTGGACTCATTTTAAAGGATTTTTCACGACGATTACAAATATGTCAAAATTGACGTTGACATTCTTAACCGGAAGTTGACCATAACTTCATTAATATTGAAGATAAATATGTCGTGTTTGTACTCATTTTAAAGGATTTTTAATGAAGATTACAAATATGTCAAAATTGAGGTTGACATTTTAAACCTGAAGTTAGTTATCATATAATAGACAAATGGACAACTTCATGGTGTTCTTTCATGATGTATTCTTTATTAAAAAACCTTTAAAATGAGTCCAAACAAGACGCACTTATCTCAAAAAAACAAAAAAGTTTGAATAAAATACATTAAACCCGAAGTTAGCAACAATAAAAATAGCAATTTAATATTTAAATATCAACACCAACCTTAATTTTAGATTTTTTTTATTATATTTTTGTTTTTGTGGCAAATATTAAGACATTTTATAAAAAATAAGAATATGTCAAAATGACATTGACATTTCAAACCGGAAGTTGCTTATACCTCGAGTAATATTGGAATTAAACGTATCATGTTTGGACTCATTTTAAAGGATTTTTCACGACGATTACAAATATGTCAAAATTGACGTTGACATTCTTAACCGGAAGTTGACCATAACTTCATTAATATTGAAGATAAATATGTCGTGTTTGTACTCATGTTAAAGGATTTTGAATGAAGATTACGATTATGTCAAAATTGAGGTTGGCATTTTAAACCTGAACTTAGTTATCATATAATAGAAGTTTTATAACTAAAATTAATCTAGTGTTAGTCGCTTTAGTCGAGATGAAAACGAAAATCCCGTTATTCTCAACATTGTTCATTTGTCGCTTAATCAAGTGATATAAAACGCGGTACAATTATAAATATTCAAAATTTATTGCGTTACAAAATACAAATAAAATTTGTTTACACAATCATTTTTTTTGCATAATCGACAAAAAAAGAAAAAATACTTTAATCAACAAATTAAAATGTAACAATTCGATTTGATAGCAATAAATTTGGTTTAATTTTCAAGGAGTTAACATCCAAAAAATGAGTCTCAAATTGATTTTAATTCTTATATTTGTCTCCAAAACTTATGGAAACGAAACAACTCCAAATCCCGATCATCTCGAAATCGAAGAATTTTGCAAAAATGTTTGTTCGAACCCAAACTGGGATTTTACGTGCGAAAAAAAAACTTCAACGTGTATTTGTTGGGTCGATAACAACTTAGATGGTAAATCAAATTAATTTTAATTAAAAAAAAAAATTTTAAATGTTAAAACATCTTTTACAGATATAGACGCAAAAGCTATGCAAAAACAAGCCATAAATCAAGGAATTATTTTATGGGTGATTCGAAAACGAGATAGACTCGCTCGAGATCTCAACAACACCACAAATAACGACACGGAAAATACCACCGAACAAAGTACAATCGAAATAAAACCACGAATTAACGAAGAAAACGAAGAAAAATCCCCAAAATCAATTTTAAAAAAATATAAACCAACCGAAAAATCAACAAAATCAGATCCAATTGTTGGAGATGCCCCAAAATCGATTTTACCACGATTAAATCATAAAGGTTTGGTCGCAAATTTAAAATCGTGCAACACCGAAACGATTAAATTGAATTTGCAAAATGTAAAGGCGCATTTAAATCGGTTATTAGAACGATTTGAGCACCCCCAAGTAAACTGTGGGCTACTCACGAGCGAATTGGAAGGGATAAAATCAAATTTGCAACAATTAATTGTTAGGGTTGGTGAGAAAAAGGATTTAAATGAACGGCCGAGGTTGATTGATCAACTTCGTGGAAGGGAAAAGGAGAGGCACGCTAAGTTTCAATCGAGATTTGGACAATTAGATTTGCATAAGAAGAAAAATATCCTTGGGAGTGCCAAAAATGATGATGTTATTACCCAACCTAAAGAATTTATTGATAACAAAAAATAATTAATTGTTAAAAATAAAAGTATTTTTAAATGTTTTTTTATCGTCTTCCGTTTTTTATTCGTCCTTTATCACCATCGCTCGCTTGGCTTGACAAGACTTATATGATAACTAACTTCAGGTTTAAAATGTCAACCTCAATTTTGATATATTTGTAATTTTCATTAAAAATCCTTTAAAATGAGTACAAACACGACATATTTATCTTCAATATTAATGAAGTTATGGTCAACTTCCGGTTAAGAATATCAACGTCAATTTTGACATATTTGTAATCGTCGTGAAAAATCCTTTAAAATGAGTCCAAACATGATACGTTTAATTCCAATATTACTCGAGATATAAGCAACTTCTGGTTTGAAATGTCAATGTCATTTTGACATATTCTTAATTTTTATAAAATGTCTTAATATTTGTCGCAAAAACAAAAATATAATAAACAAAAACTAAAATTAAGGTTGGTATTGATATTTAAAAATTAAATTGCTATTTTATTGTTGCTAACTTCGGGTTTAATGTATTTTATTCTAACTTTTTTGCTTTTTGAGATAAGTGCGTCTTGTTTGGAGTCATTTTAAAAGTTTTTTTTTACAAAAAGTACATCATGAAAGAACACCATGAAGTTGTCCATTTGTCTATTATATGACAACTACCTTTAGGTTTAAAATGTCAACCTCAATTTTGACATATTTGTAATCTCCATTAAAAATCCTTTATAATGAGTACAAACACGACATATTTATCTTCAATATTAATGAAGTTATGGTCAACTTCCGGTTAAGAATGTCAACGTCAATTTTGACATATTTGTAATCGTCGTGAAAAATTCTTTAAAATGAGTCCAAACATGATATGTTTAATTCCAATATTACTCGACATATAAGCAACTTCCGGTTTGAAATGTCAATGTCATTTTGACATATTCTTAATTTTTATAAAATGTCTTAATATTTGTCGCAAAAACAAAAATATAAAAAAAATCTAAAATTAAGGTTGGTATTGATATTTAAAAATTAAATTGCTAATTTTATTGTTGCTAACTTCGGGTTTAATGTATTTTATTCTAACTTTTTTGCTTTTTGAGATAGGTGCGTCATCTTTGGACTCATTTTAAAGGTTTTTTAATGAAGATGACAAATATGTCAAAATTGACGTTGACGTTTCATACCGGAAGTGATTGTATCTCCAGTAACATCAAAGTTAAATATGTCGAGTTTGGACTCATTTTAATAGTTACCTAACCAACAAGTGTATTAATGAAGGCGATTAATTATCGCGATATTTTAACGTTAATTATTGAGATAATTAATCGCATTTTAATATACGAGTTACTTACAATATTTTTCCGTCGACTGTCTTTTCAACAAAATAGAGAAAATCCATCGTTGAAGAATCACCCAATTTTATCACTGGCAAACTTTAAGAAAATCCGACCGAACTAATATAGTTGTCAATTTAGTAAACATTCTCGAATGAAACCTGTAATACCGACCCAACCGACCACTATATCTATTCGGTAAAGCTACAATGATAAATTTTGACTTTTGACACATTAAAAGTGAGGTTCTGTAAACAAAAATAATTATAAAGATACAAAATTTGCAGTTTCCGCAACTTCTGGTGGTGTTAACGTATAATATTCGTCGATATTCATTTATTCGATGTTTTTATAACACTTTATAAACACTATAAACATAATTTTCGAAATTTAAATCTTGATTGACATTTGACAGATATACGCCACGCCACCTCGCGTTGTTTTGGATATTTTCCAAACGTTTTCTAAACTATTTTATTTAAATTTTTTGCCTATATGTAACACATATTATTAAAATTGAGTGATTTTTAAACAAATTTCAACATCCCACGATTTTTTATGACATGGCTCACGAGATTCTGTGTGTAACCTGGCAACCCTGATTGCAAGTACGAATCCTGTGATATTGGTTGCATACTCACTCAACAACATTACAACTTGGTTATCGCGCGGTGAAAGAAAAAGATTTTACAGGATTAAATTAAATTTGCAACAATTATTGTTAGTGAAAAAAAGGATTTAAACGGCCCAGATTGATGGATCAACTTCTTGGAAGGGAAAAGGATGCTAAGTTTCAATCAAGATTTGGTCAATTAGATTCCTATAACAAGAAAAACATCCTTGGGACAACCAAAAACGACGTTATTACCCAACCTAAAGAATTTATTGATAACGAAAAATAATTAATTATTCAAAATAAAAGTATTTTTATCGCCTTCCTTTTCCCTTTCGTCCTTTACCACCACCGCTAGCTTGGCTTGGTTCTGGACTCGGCTTAACCTGCCTTGTCTTTAATTTTGGAATCATTTCCCCCAAATGCAACATAACACTATCCCTACTTGCAAACTTAGCAACACACGAAGTTCCATCTTCATTTTTAATCTGAACCCGAATTCTACCTCTAAATAAGGCTTCTTTACTCCGTTCGCGACTGTACAATTTGTTTTCGACTCCAACTTTTAATCCGGCCGCTGATAAAACGTCCCTAATCTCTTGATGGGTTGGATTCTCAACGCATTTTTCTTTAGGAATTCGTCTCCCTTGCGCTAAAGTCTTTTTACTATTTATATAAGCTGGGTAAATACAAATCCAACTAAAAAAAATTTTTTAGGTTATGTTATTTTTAAGATAGTTATTTAATTATTTATTTACCGCTCTGGATCGCTATGTTTTTTATTGGGGTTCCACGCTAAGGGTTGTTGCGATGATGAATGAGCCATTATCGTGGGATTTAATTAATTTTTGTTGAAAATCAAACATACGTTCTTATTTGTTGACGTTTACGCTTTTTTTAAGGAATCTTCTTTACCGACATTAAATGGCGGAAATTTTAACATTTTCATCCGTCAATTAGTTGTCACAATCACCATGCGACACTTTTTGAAAGAGTTTTTGATGTCCATGATACCATGGAAGGCTTAAAATATTTCTATTTACTCATATTGTACTCGTTTATTATAAATTTAAACATTCATAAATTTATTAAAGCGTCTGGCGGGAATGAAACGACCGCCTCTGAGCCTATTTCAGAAACAGGTAATTTTTGGTTAATTTAGATAAAAAATTCAAATTTGATGGTTTTAATTGCAGAAAAAAACATTTTGGAAGAAAGTAACGTTCTTTGCGACCCGAAACGACCGAATATCTTTGTAGATAGAAATAATTTACTTGGTAAAAATCATCCAGAGAAACAAAATTACAAATTAGCCGAGTTTACTTACGGAAATGGGCCAAACGGTTGTGAATATCGTCAAATCGAATCGAATAAACGCGATTTAATATCGTTTTGAATTTTAGGACCAGCACATTGGGCGAAAATTTATAAACAATGCGGTGGAAAACATCAATCGCCTATAGATATAGATCTATCAACGTTAAAAAACGTTCACATGCAAAAATTAACTTGGGATAGTGTCTATAGTCAAATGCCGGAAATGATTACAGTCTCGAATAACGGAAGAACCGGTAAAAATTAATTAAAATCGACTAATTAAAAATTAATGATTTTTTTTTAAATTTTAAAGTTGTGATTAAACCGAAGTATGCAACCGGAAAGCAAGCAGGTATACAGGGTGGCCCGTTAAGTGCAATGTACATTTTGGATCATATCCATTTCCATTGGGGATCCAGCGATCATAAAGGTAGCGAACATACGATAAACGGAAAAAGTTTCCCGATGGAAATGCACGCTGTTCATTTGAAAGAACATCTTACTTTAGAACAAGCTGCTAAAGTCTCAGATGGGATTGCAATTGTTGGGTATTTCTTTGAAGTAAGAATTTTATTGATTATTTCAACCCATTTATAATTAAGTAATAAAAAATAGTTATGTTTGTTATAAGTTTGAAGGGTTTTACAGCCAGGTGTTAATAGAATTAAAACTAGCACTAGATGTAGAACTAGAAACATTCAGGTTTAGCTCTCAAGTTGGCTAAACCCGAATGGTTCTAGTTCTAGGTCTAGTGTTAGTTAACTAACATTAGATTTAGACCTAGCATGTTTCACGCAAAATCACTTTAGCGGATCACAAGCATATGTCATTGTAGCAGACATGACAAAGCAGGCAGAATTAAGAATCCCCTCACTCACTGATTGCTGCTATTTTTGTAGACACATCAGCGAAGAGGGTGACGAAATCAAAACAAATATTGGAAATAGAGAGGATCTTTTCAACTAAACAATATCATACGTAATGCATATGAATCAAGCTGTCCAATAAAACACAAGTGAGAACAATTCCATGTGCCTTGGTGGAATAAGGACCATGAACTATAGAAGACTATATAATAAAGTCAGGTATTATAAACTCAAACATACATGGGTCTTCTATAAGAAAGCTCTAACGGAGTACAACTTGGTTATTCGAAAAGCCAAAAGAAAAAGCTGGCGCAGCTTCTGCGAATGCATAGATAATTCGCCTACAGTTGCTCGCCTGCATAAAATTTTGGTGAAAGACCATAATAGAGATCTAGGCCACCTATGCAAACAAGACGGCAAATATACAGGAGAATCGCTGGAGCTCTTATTGAGCACACACTTACCGACCTCAGAAGTCTGCTCTAATGTGGACGCCGATCTTGAAGTAATGGCTATTTCTAATTTTAAGCCCCTAAAATCACCTGGAGGAACATCCCTATATATAACCAGCTGCATATAATTTCAGCTACGGTGATCTTTATATATAGCTATAGGTGGTAGGCGTTCAAACGCCGATTCCAAGGCATACAGACCAATTAGCCTAATTTAATTTCTCCTCAAAGGGATGAAAAGGTAATCGATCAATACCTTAGGAATGGAGTGTTGGTCACTAATCTACTCCATCCAAGTCAACATGGTTATCAGAAAAGCAAAATCAACAATTACTGCTCTTCATGTTTTGATAAGCATTTTAGAGGAGACAATAAATTGCAGCCAAAGAGATAGTCTTATGTGCGTTCATAGAGGGTGCTTTTGATAACACCTCCTACGAATCCATAGAGAAAGCTCTAAACGTAAAATAGTTTGCAAAAGAATTAAAAGAGTGCATAGCCATGCTAAAAAGTCGGCAGATCACAGCTACTCTGGGAGGAGAGTCGTTGACTATTAAAAAATGAATTAATGACAGAGATCTGCAGCGAATGGCTCACATAGTGATCACATTCACTGATTCGTTGCCTTCATTCGTTAATAGTTATTATGACTCATGTTGTGTGGTGTTCTTTCTTAAGTTACTGTATTGTTGACTCCGAATGGCTCACATGTCAAATTATATTAATCGATTCGCTGTTACTATCTTTCTTTAATTCGTCAATATAAGTGTGAATCTATCGAATATTTTAGACAATTTTGTATAAGTTTAGCCAAATTTAGATAACTCTGTAGATTCTACTACTCGATTCGCTACTTTTCGTTGCATTTGAGAGAGACGCCTCCTGCTTGATGTTGTAGAACAACACTACATCATATTGAGCGAATCGTTGTTGAATGAAACCATTTATGCAGGTCTCTGATTCATGATTCAGAGGTATACTGATAACCTGGTAATCACAATCCGAGACTCAACTACTGCAGAAAGCCCTACTATTCAACTAGCACTTGGTGCAGAAACAATGGGCGTCACTCGGAGAAGGAAGCTATAATTGATACCACCGTCCATTGAAGGCAGAACTATTAATCTTAAAACAGAAGTCAAATACCTAAACTGGAACTTCCACATAGTTCATTACGGCTAACCAGATCTTCCGAAGGAGCTGGGGTGTTAAACCACGAATGGCTCACTGGACCTACATAGCAATAATCAGACCTATGGTTGCCTATGTCTCATTGGTTTGGTGGCCAAAAACAAAGACAGCACAATAACAGCTGGCACAAATTCAGCAGTTAGCTCTTGAAGTCCTACTCGGTCTCACACCACGTCATTTATACATACAAAAGGAGGCTATATCACTGAAAACATGTTCTTTACTCAAGTTGATGCAGGGTAACCTCAGAGAACACCTCGAACTCCTCAATAACCTACGTCTAAACCACTGGATTGAAATTAAAAGCTCGGATATAACCATTTTTCAAGCAGAATTTCTTGCTATAAAGTTCTGCACCGTTTTGAACCTAGAAGAGGGATAGAAAAGTGCATCGATAAACATTTTCACGAACAGTTGGGCCGCCCTAAAAGCAATTCAGGCCTACACCTTTGACACTGCACTGATCAGAAAGTGTACCAGTAACCTGAGAGAACTGGGTAGGGGTAATGATGTTACTCTATGATCACAAAGACATTGAGGCAAATGGGATCTAAGGTCTATACGCTCCTAGAATACCACCTCTTCCATATTGGACAAGCTAAGGATCAAACTTGTTGATTTTGCAACGACGAGTCAGAGATTGCTGAATATACAGGGTGTCTCATGTAACTGGTTCGTTAGACTTTTCAAGTTCCACTATTCGTAGTGGTTTGAAATTTTGGTAACATGGGTTGTTCATTCGAAACTTACTAAAATAATTTCAAAATGGCCGCCACTTCCTGTCAGACCACAATTTCGTTTTTTGAAAATGCTCTTTAAAACCACATATCTCAAGCAACGTTCATTCAAAAAAGTTCTAAATTGGCACGATTACTCTTCAGATGTTGTCAAATAGATTATCATTTGTTATATTAAAGTATCTTATACAGGGAGGTCAAAAATTGACTATGCCTATTTATTGCAATTTCTCTGATATTGGATAATTTAATACAACAAATGAAAATCTATTTGACAACATCTGAAGAGTGGTATTAAATAATAATAATAAGACTTAGACCTAAAACTAGAAACATTTGTGATTTATAGTGATTTTAGTGATTTATTGGATAAAATAATAAACAAGGTAAATATCGTTGAAATTTTTACATCAAAACAATTTCTTTTCAGATCGAAGAGACTTGCAATCGAGCGATTCGAGATATCCAAGAAGATTTTGAGCAAATTGAAAGTGACGTGGGGATGGCGCAACCTTTAAGAACCATGTTTCCGATTAGTGAACTTACTGAGAGTTTTTGTAATAATTATGTGACGTATAAAGGATCGTTAACGACGCCTCCTTGCCCCGAATCGGTTATTTGGATAATTTCCCCCTACACCATAGGATTATCGAAAAATCAACTTTTAAAGTTTCGGAAGTTGTTTGAAACAACCAAGGGGTTAATGAATAATTTTCGGCCTATACAACAATTACACGGGCGTCCTATTCATTTCGTAACTTAATTTATTTTATATTTATTTGATATTTATGCTAATAAAAATAAATGATTAAGTTAAAGAATATTTTATTTATTTCAATTTTATTAATATTAATTATAAATTTGTATACAGTGTGTTAATTAATTATCGTACCCGACGACATCATTGCAAGTATGCAACCAATATCACAGTATTTATTTTATAACCCGCGATTTGCGTATTGCAATACCAATACTGTGATATTGGTTGCATATGCAATGATGACGTCGGGTGCGATAATTAATTAACACACTGTACATCTAAATTTTTTTTTAGATAGAATCTCATTGTCATAAAGCGATTCAATACATCCAACAAGTTTTTGGATTAGCCACTTTAGATGTTGGTTTAGATGTGCCATTAACGAATTTATTTCCTCTAAGAAATTTGGCTGAAGAATTCGGACCCGGATATGTAACTTACAACGGTTCATTAACCGAACCACCTTGTACGGAGCACGTCATTTGGATTTTATCCCCTTTTTACGTGGGGATTACGGTAAATCAATTAAAAAATTTCCGGAAATTATACGATTCATCGAAAGGACTCGTAAATAATTTCCGGCCTTTGCAACCAAACAATAATCGAACCGTCGTCTTTGTAGTTTAATAATTGATTAAATAAATAAATTAAAATCATTTTATTTTTAATAATAATTATTACTTCTAGTTATTTCGGTTTTAACATCATCAATTAAATATATTTTTTGCCCCGTTGATGATTCTTCCGATAATTTTTCCATATTCATCGCTGTTATTGGATTGTTTAAATCCAATCCTAAAGAATAAAAATCCCCACTTGGAAGTGGTATACTAACCACAAATAAATTATTAGCATTTGGTCCATTTTTACTACGTTTTTCTAACTCTTTTAATTTAAATATAACATCCTTATTACTCGTATCAATCGAATATGAATGACGCCTTCCGTATTTATCTGTAAAGCTAAAATGGAACATTGTTTTAACAGCAACAACTTTATCTGAATTCGGGTATCTCCCCGTCGATTTAACGGTGGCGTCAATAAGAACGTCTAAAGTTCTTGGATCCCAAGTATTGAATGATAATGGAATTTCCATGCCTTGTTCTAAAACGAGATTAGCTATGGATATCGCGGGACTTGTTGTGTCTAAACTTTCGGTGCTTTCTTCACTGAAAGCTTTTAACATTATCATAAGTTCTTGGTTGTTGGTGTCGATTGTTATGTTGTATTTTACTTCATCGGCTCCTTTATATTCGAATGAAGAGTAAAATGGATTGTAGGTGTTTTCTGGACGAGGATTATCCTCGGGAACTACAAAGTTAAAAATAATTAAGTGAATTTAATAATTATTTTTTTTTTTTTACTTTGTGGTACAACTGAACGATATTCAAAAGTTGGCCCAGTAACCATTTCTACTGGAGGAGGTTGTGCTGAAAAAACTTTGTTATTAATTTTAATCGATTTTTCAGTTGGTCATTTTGATTTAAACGTCAAAATCTTTTTCTTGGTTAAAATATAAATTAATTTTTAAGTTTTTTTTATAAATAAAATGAATTAATTTTTATTTAGTTTTTATGTTTAATTATTTTTTAATTTATTATTTATATAGTATTTTTAAATCCTAATAAAAAAAATAATTTTTAAGTTGGCAATTCTGACATTTGACATTTATAAACATCACAATAATTCTTAATTTCTTTTATATTTACTTATTTTTTTAGTGTTTTAGGATTTCCACGAGAATTCTTACGAGAACCTTACCAAAGCATAAGCAATTAACTAAAAGTATTCGAATAGTGGGGTTAGGAACGAGATACTTAACAAAACTTGAGGGTTATAACGAAAGAAAATTATAAAAAAGAACCTAATTATAAAAGAGTATCATTTCCCAATAGCATTGTTGCTAACCGATATGAAAACAGCACGCTAAACATAGCAAGCCATTTCAGCGAGGTCACCCGGTATATAGTGAAGTCGGTTTCACACGCTCTAATTTGTAACAACAAAACTACAGAAAATTCGGCGGTTATACTGATTTCAAAAGTCGATCAATTTGAAACATAGCAATAAATACAATTGAAAAATAAATTGCCTTGTTCCGATTTCGTAAAGGCTGTCTTACATTCATATTAAAAACCGATAATAAAACCGATATAAATCTACCGATTATCGAAATAGAATCAATACAATTGCGACAAAAATTGTACCTTATGGGAATACCCTACTTATATTGCATAAAAGTATATACCAACGATATGGCAATGTCGCTTGAGCAACGTTGCCAGATCGTTGGTATATACAGTACGCGTCATAAGTAATTTGAAAACAGTTCAAAATATAATATTGTCAAAATAGATATTGACGCATCTAAGAGCAAAAGTGCAAGAGAGCAATATTGTTAACAATAAAATTTGCTACAACTTTTATTGTAAATGTTTTTTTGTAACACCCTGCGATTCCCGAGTATTAGCTTTAATAACTTAAAAAAGCTACAGATTCATCAAATTTCCATATTTTCGTATCTATCACGATATTGACGCATCTAATAGCAAAAGTGCAAGAGAGCAATAATGTTAACAATAAAATTTGCTACAACTTTTGTTCTAAAAGTTTTTTTGTAACATGCTTCGATCCCTAAGCGTTACCTTTAATTACTTGAAAAAGCAATAAATTCATCAAATTTTCATATTTTTCTCAATATTGACGCATTTAATAGCAAAAGTGCAAGAGAGCAATATTGTTAACAATAAAATTTGCTACAACTTTTGTGCTAAAAGTTCTTTTGTAATATGCTTCGATTCCTAAGCGTTACCTTTAATAACTTGAAAAAGCAACAAATTCATCAAATTTTCATATTTTCGTATCTATCTCAATATTGACGCATCTAAGAGCAAAAGTGCAAGAGAGCAATATTGTTATGAACAAAATTTGCTACAACTTTTGTTCTAAAAGTTCTTTTATAAAATGCTTCGATTCCTAAGCGTTACCTTTAATAATTTGAAAAAGCAATAAATTCATCAACTTTTCATATTTTCGTATCTATCTCAATATTGACGCATCTAAGAGCAAAAGCGCAAGAGAGCAATATTGTTAAGAATAAAATTTGCTACAACTTTTATTGTAAAAGTTTTCTTGTAATGCGCTCCGATTCGTAAGCGTCATATTTAATATCTTGAAAAAGAAACAAATTTTCATATTTTTATATTTTGCTTGATATTGACCCATTTAAGAGCAAAAGTGTAAGAAAGCAATATTATTAGAAATAAAATTTGCTACAACTTTTATTTTAAAAGTTTTTCGTAACATCCTTCGATTCCAAAGTGTTACCATTAACAACTTGCCAATAGGTTAGATCCCGAAAAACAGTAATCTTAATCAAACATTCCACAAGGCAACTTTGTAGTTTGTTGTCTTCAGGTATGCGCAATTTTTTAAAATACAACCATCCGTGTATAATTCATAACTTATATACAGGATATATTATTTTAAGCGATTTTTCTAATAAAAAATCAATATTATATACTATAATGTTTGGATGCGGAAGATATGGGACATCCTGTATATGTATTTCTGACTTTGTATTTAAACCTACCGATTTTTTACCATTGATTCTACCGACATTTGGTCGGCATAGGTTGGCAACGCTGGTTACGTCGGGCGTACCTCAGGGCAGTCATCTTGGACCAATTTTATTCTTAGTTTATATTAATGATATTAATGAGTGTTTTCGCCACTCCAATTTTTTGCTTTACGTACACTTTTTTCCAGGATTAGTTCCATATCCGACAGCTTGATGCTTAAGGAGGATCTTGAACGTCTGCAAGACTATTGCTTCAAAAACTATTTGTTTCTGAATTATGATATGTAAGTGCTATGATATGTATGCTTCTAAACGTGTAGGTTTTATTATTGGTGTATCTCGTTCCTTTACCAATATACGAAGTATCGTTTCCTTGTATACGGCGTACGTCGGTAGCGTTTTGCTTCATTCCATGGTGCTCTTGCGGGATGTTCGCCTTAATGTAATGTCTTATACCACACAAATAATGCCTCTTTTCAAGCTACCTGCTTCTAAATCTACTGCATACACCAATTCACCAATGCCACGTCTATTGCACTTCTACAATACTTATTGTAATAATTTTGACGTTACGTTTTGAGTTTGAGTATTTGTCATTAATTTAATTTAATTTTGTTATTAACTCAGTTTGTAGGGTAAAACGCCAGTAATTGACCGTTGGTCAGTGTTTGACCGTTTTTGTAAAAAAATGTAAAAAATAAGGTTCCAAGGAATATCTAAAAAAAAATAAATCTGTCCACACATAGCCACCAGTCTCTTCTCCACCTCCTACTACGCAAAAAGTCTAGGACGATACCGTTCTTGAGTTCTTGTTGTTTAATTTGCGCTAACTACCGGCCTATTCACACCGTGCTAAAAATGGTAATTTTTATGTTTAGATATTCACCTAAACAAGGTCGTACTATTCCGCCGTTTTTGCATGTATCGTGTTTTTTTTGTTTGCCAGTGATCTAATAATGTTTTCTATTGGTTGTATTAAAAAATTACTGCTTTAATTAATTATTTGTGAAAATAAAGGCGGTCAAAGACTAGTAGTTCTAAATTTAATTAAAAATTAGTGTTTGACCAAACGGTCAAATACTAGACGAATTGGTTGTTGTATAATCCCACAAGTATTTATATTTGATTAAAAAAATGGAAAAATGTGTAATACCTCTTTTTAAAAATTATATCTTCCTGTTTAAATTGTTTAGTATTTGACCAAAACTTTTATACTTTAAAAGTAAGATACAATCAGTTTAAATATGCGGTCAATTACTGATTCTTCTTTTGGTCATTTATAGGACATTTTATAAATATTTAAGCCTAATATAAATATAAGTGTAAATGTTTGGTTCTTTTCTATTTTTTACGCCTTTTTTATAACAATAAAAGTAATTGAACACACTTAAGCAGTAATCAATCTGTAAAATTAAAAGGATAAAAGGTTGGTCAAACACTGACTCTTATAGTGGTCAATTATTACCAAAAATGGAAAATCTATATGGAAAATTTAGCAAATATGACTCCAATGCAATTTGAAAATGGGACCACCAGCATTTTTAAATTCTGATGAAGAAACACTACTGGTTGAATGATTGTTTCATTCAGCAGTCCTGTTACAAAAACCCAGTTGAAAAACATAAAATTTGGGTGAAAAGTTAAGTCAACAACATTTTACTCCATTTAAAGAGTCAAAAAATATAAACATTTTTTTGTGAACAAAATAGTATGGAAAAATAATGAAAATGAATATTATATTAAGAATCGGTCAAACATTTACGGTTTTAAGGTCAAAGACTAGATATTATTGGCCAAATAATGTAATCAAAGTGGTCAAACACTAAATGCGAAATACAGTTATTCATTTTAATTTTAAAAAAATATTACTTTATGATGTTATATTTTATATGTAGGGTAAGTAACTTTAAATGAATCAGATGTGTATTTGATCATATTTTGATCATTTTATGTAAAGGCAGAGGGATCTACAAGAAAAATAATATGACTCGGTCAAACACTGACATTAAAATATCCTTAACAGGTCAAACACTGGTGCGTTTACCCTATTTTGATTTTTCTTTTTATTATTGCTGATTATTCTTTTTTTTTTTTATTGTTCTAATTGTTTCTAGTGGATACTTAATTGGGGTTTTCCCTGTATGTATCCCGAATATAAATAAATAAATATTAAAAAGTACTAGCTGTTCAATAGCATGGTCTGACTTCGTAACGGCTCTTTTATTCACCCCTACATTAATAAAATTCACCTGTGTAATTCCCAAAAATCTGATAGTACGATGTTCGACGGCGATAGTGCTATTTTTTTTATATAGGGTGAATAAAAGAGCACTTACGAAGTCAGAGCAAGTTAATTTGACCACGCTAATGAACGCTTTTTAATATATTTAGCAATTATTAGATTTTTGACGGCTGCCGCGATTAACAAGGGACGAGGTTTTTTATATGATGGTAAAACAGCCTTTACATAATCGGAGCAAAATTTATTTATTGCTACTTTTCGCATTATTTTCGACCTTTAGAATCAGTATATACGTCGAATTTTCTGTAGCTTTGTTGCTTACAAATTAAAGCGTGTAAAACCGACTTTATTGTATACCGGGTGACCTCGCTAAAATGGGTTTCACGCCATTTCTTGGTATTACACCGATTTTAGGTTTATTTTAAAATTGTATACTTACGTTTATCATATGTCTCATATTCATGACTTTGTGTTCTCTCATCTTGTTGAATAAAATAATCGCCATCTCGTTCATCTAAAATAAAGATTAATATAAAAAAAATAAATTAATTTATTAACACCCAATACCTTTGTTATCATAACTTTCATAATCAAGATCGTTTTCATTAGCATCTTCTTCGTGCAAATCATCATCGTATTCATCCCCATTCGAATCATCATCATATTCTTTCTCATTAACCTCCACACTTTCCAAATACTTATCGCCATCACCACCATCCGGTTTTCTTATATCCATTTTCGTTTTAGATTTCCACGGACTCGGAGCAACGTTAAGACTTTGCGCATCATAGAGATAATCTTCATTAATACCTGGTTTTTGATTTTGAGAAATTTGATCCGATGAAAGTTGATTGTATTCGTGGTAGTTTTCCGTTGGAGAGTAATCGTCATTTTCGTTGAATGTTTTATCGTAATCTTCGGTGGGAATTGGATCGAGATATTGTTCTTTGTATTCTGGGTCGATTTCGTTGTTATCTTCTTGATTAATCAATTCATCTGGTTTTGTTACAGCTTTTGATAATATGTTTGAGTGAGATTGATGGGATTCTGGAGAACCAGATAATGTTTGTTGTTGATTTTGATCATTATTGTAGTCGTTATTTTCTTGTGGGTAATCATTTTTATTATTTTCATTTATTGTATTCACATAATTCATTTCAGGATCACTTAAATCTTCAGGATTAATATTTTCATCACCTGGATTATTATTATTATGATAATCATCAGATATACTCGTATTATCATCTGGATAATTACTTTGAAGATCAATTGACTCATCAGGATTAATATTTTCAGCATCAGGGTAATTATTTAGACCTTGTGGATAATCATCTTTAATATTATTTAGATAATCATAATCAGATTCTTCAGTCATAGATATTGAATTCATGTTATCATCTGGGTAATTAATTTGAGGATCAATTTGGTCATCCACATTAATATTTTCATTATCTGGGTAATTATTAAGATCTTGTGGATAAGCATGTTCATTATTATTAAGATAATCATCATCAAATTCATCACCATTATTTATTATACTCGTATTATCATCTGGATAATTACTTTGAGGATCAATTGACTCATCAGAATCAATATTTCCTCCATCAGAATAATTATTTAGATCTTGTGGATAACCATCTTCATTATTATTAAGATAATCATCATCAGATTCATCACCATTACTTATGACACCAACATTATCATCTGGATAATTAATTTGAGGATTAATTGGATCCTCAGGATTAATATTTTCATCATCAGCATCAATATTTCCTCCATCAGAATAATTATTTAGATCTTGTGGATAACCGTCTTCATTATTATTAAGATAATCATCATCAGATTCATCACCATTATTTATGACACCAACATTATCATCTGGATAATCAATTTGAGGATTCATTGGATCTTCAGGATTAATATTTTCATCATCTGCATCAATATTTCCTCCATCAGAATAATTATTTAGATCTTGTGGATAACCATTTTCATTATTATTAAGATAATCATCATCAGATTCATCACCATTATTTATTATACCATTTGGATAATTAATTTCAGGATCAATTGATTCATTGGGATTGATATTTTCATCATCAGAGTAATTATTTAGATCTTGCGGATAACTATCTTCATTATTATCAAGATAATCATCAGATTCTTCAGTCATAGTTATAGAACCCATATTATTATTTGGATTATTAATTTCTGGATAATCATATCCGGCATCAGGATAATTAATTTGAGGTTGAATTGATTCGCCTGGATCATATTCATTACTTCCAGGTTGTTTTGGTCTTGTCAAAATTTCCGAAAGTACTTTCGATTGCGATTCTAGAGATTCTGGTACACCAATCGATACTTTTTGTGGATCTTCATTATGATCATAAACAGCCGAAGATTTTCCATCTTCTGGATTATTATCAAGATAATCATCATCAGATTCTTCAGCCGTAGTTATAGAACCCATATTATTATTTGGATTATTAATTTCTGGACCAATTGGATACTCTAGATAATCATATTCGGCATCAGGATAATCAATTTGAGGTTGAATTGATTCGCCTGGATCATATTCATTACTTCCGGGTTGTTTTGGTCTTGTCAAAATTTCCGAAAGTACTTTGGATTGCGATTCTAGAGATTCTGGTACCCCAATCGACACTTTTTGTGGATCTTCATTATGATCATAAACAGCCGAAGATTTTCCATCTTCTGGATTATTATCAAGATAATCATCATCAGATTCATCAGTCATAGTTATAGAACTCATATTATTATTTGGATTATTAATTTCTGGATAATCATATCCGGCATAATCACCACCAGATTCATCAATTTGAGGTTGAATTGATTCGCCTGGAGATTTTTCTAGATCTTTATTTTGATTTCCCAAATATTCGTTATCGCCATACTCTTGACTGTACTCCTCTTCGCTATAATATTGACCTTGGTACAAATTAAAATTATTTTCTTCTTGGTCGTAATAATAATAACTAGGGACGAATACTTTATGCCCATGTTCGGGTTCGATTACTTTAAATTCTTGCGACGACGGATCAATTTTATGTAATTGGCCGTATTCGTCGTATTGATAATAAATCGTTTCGTAATGATAATTATAGTTGTATTGAATATCTTCTTTGTAGGTGTATTCCAAAGAAATTTTTTTGTAATCTTCATCTTCATCAAAAAATTCCCCATCCTCATCGTCAATCTCATAAACGTAGGTGTTATATTCTTGATAGTGCTCTTCGAGATGGTGCTCATCTATTGACTGGTAATACTCGGTTTCGTACGGAATACTTTCAGTGATTACTAAAACAAAATTGAATCAAAACTGGTGATGGAACGGACAGTGATTTTGGGAAAAGCCGAATATTAGCCGGTTATCCGGCCATTATGGTTATAATTTCTGGTACATTTCTGCAACATTGTTACGATATTTGAATAAAAATGAAATTAATAAGAAAGGTGATAAGATATGTCAACTTATTTGGATCCAAGAAACAAAATGAACTTTTTTAATGCTGACGAAATAACTTTAAAATTAATTTTATAGCGAATTTTGAAAATTATCGACAAAAATTGGAACATCGAAAATTTTATCAAAATTTCAAATATTGCTTTCTCAAAAACTAAAAGTTATTTTTCAAAACGGGTTGGTTCATTGGAAAAAGCACACTTTTATTAGCATTTAAGGAAATTTTCATACTCATATTCCAAGAAATCGATTTTTTACCAATTACTAAAACTTAATCGGCGAAAATTGCGAAATTCAAAAAAATTGTCGATTATTTCAAAAATTTATTTCTCAAAAACTAAAAGCGATTTTTCAAAACGGCTTTTTGCATTAAAAAGATGATACTTTAATTAATAATTGGTGATATTTCCACAAGGATCCTTCATGAAATTAATTTTATAGCGAATTTTGAAAATTAAATTATTATTTTATCAAAACTTCAAATATTGTTTTCTCAAAAACTAAAAGTTATTTTTCAAAACGTGTTGGTTCATTGGAAAAAGCACACTTTTATTAACATTTTGGGAAATTTTTATACTCATTATAGAGTATATTTATTTGAAACTCTATATTATTAATTAATCGTATAAATAAAATATTAAAAATTAAAATGGAGTATTTGATAGTCTGTTTTATGTGTATCTATCTATTTATTTATTATTTTATAACTATAACAAAATCGCCATGGGAAAATATATTACGCTTGTATAACAGCCCATGGTGATATAACATTATGTTTATATACAGTGTGTCCGTAAAGTAACGGATATAGGCGATAAAATCATTATAAATGCAAATAAATTTTTTGCAATTGTGTGGTGCAGATTTTAAATTTCTTCCGCCATTTTTAAATGAGTTATGACGTCATCGATATTTTTTTCAAATGGCAATCCCCCATTTTTATTATGGAATGTGAAAGAGGATTTTTTCTGAATCTAGTACACTCAATATTACTATTGGCTACATAAGAAAATTTTCGAGAAAAATTACTTTAAAGTTTAACTGCTTCAGATTTGTTGACATGATAAAAATAGCAGTAGCCATGAGTAACTATGGTAACCAATTATTTTAAACAATTTCCTAAGTGTCAAAAACTGAGTTAGTATCTAGTTGATCTCTTTAATACAACATATCCTGATCGCCAACTTATTGGCCAAAGTATGGTGAGCCTAGCTGTGACTAAATTTAAAAAGGATGAGTATCTCTCGAAGCATTTCTCGGAGTCTGGCCTACTAAATGTTTCAGGAGAAGTTCAATAAACCGTGGTTTTGACTGGCTAAGAAAACCCTCATGTTACTGTGAGGAGTATTGGGTCTAATTTGGACATTAGTAAATCAACGGTTCACAAAATTGTAAAACCCGCAAACTATCATTCCCATAAAGAAAACCTCATTCACGAGCAATGAATCGTAGTTTTTGCAATAACAATTTTGCAACGATGACGAAGACTTTGTCAAAAACATAAATTTTTCCAAGGAAGGGACATTTACATTGAGTGGATAAGTAAATAGAAAAAGTTGTCGGCATTGCGCTACCCAAAATCCAAATTAGCCAACAAAGTCAAATATCCGCAAAAGATTTGAGAAACCTAAACTGGAAAGAGATGTTTAAATTTTTTCAAAACGATGTCATTCCTTGCATCCCGATAATGTTGACCCAACTCAATTCTAATGGCAGTTATTCCAACAAGATGGCGCGCCACCACACTTCAAGAAGCTTTACTAAATCAGTTTTTGACACTCAAAGAATTGCTTAAAATAATTGGTTACCATAGTTATTTTAGCTATTTTTATCATTTATACAAATTTGAAGTAATTAAACTTTAAAGTAATTTTTCTTGAAAATTTTCTTATGTAACCAATATTAATATTGACTGTACTAGATACAGAAAAAAATACTCTTTCATATTCCGTAATAAAAATGGGGGATTGCCATTGGAAAAAATTATCGATGTCATAACTCGTTTAAAAATGGCGGAAAAAATTGAAATTTACACCAAAAAATTACAAAAAATTTAAATCTTTAGACCCGTTTCAGGGATTTTTCCATAAACCGTAAATTTATTATGATTTTATCGCCTATATCCGTTACTTTACGGACACACTGTATACAAATAATTAGAGTGCGTGATGCGCTACTATTATTTCAAGAAATCGATTTTATACGAATTATTAAAACTTAATCGGCGAATATAAGTACGAAGGCTTTCACGGCCGATATTAATTAAACAAAACTAGAACTAACATTAGCACTATCACAAGAACTAACACTAGACCTAGAACTAAAATCTTTCGGGTTAAGCCGTGCGTTTTTTGAAAACTTCGAACTTGTTTCTGAAGAAGGTTGCAACATGGCATCCGAAACGTCAAACATTTTTTCAAAAAACGCACGGCTTAACCCGAAAGATTCTAGTTCTAGGTCTAGTGTTAGTTCCAGTGATAGTGCTAGTGTTAGTTCTAGTTTTAGTTTAATTAATCGGCGAAATTTGCAAATTTCGAAAAAATTGTCGATTATTTCAAAAATATATTTCTAAAGAACTGAAAGTGATTTTTCAAAACGGCTTTTTGCATTAAAAAGAGGATACTTTAATTAATAATTGATGATATTTCCACAAGGATCTTTCAAGAAATTAATTTTATGGTGAAGTTTGAAAGTTATCGATGAAAATTGCAATATCGAAAAGTTTTTCAAAATTTCAAATATTGTTTTCTCAAAAACTAAACGTTATTTTTCAAAACGTGTTGGTTCATTGGAAAGAGGACACTCTTATTAACACTTTGGGAAATTTTCATACTCATATTCCAAGAAATCGATTTTATACGAATTTTTAAAACTTAATCGGCGAAAATTGCAAAATTCGAAAAAATTGTCGACCATTTCAAAAATTTATTTCTCAAGAACTAAAAGTGATTTTTCAAAACGGCTTGTTGCATTAAAAAGAGGATACTTTAATTAATAATTGGTGATATTTCCACAAGGATCCTTCAAGAAATTAATTTTATAGCGAATTTTGAAAATTATCGATGAAAATTGCAACATCGAAAATTTTATCAAAACTTCAAATATTGTTTTCTCAAAAACTAAAAGTTATTTTTCAAAACGTGTTGGTTCATTGGAAAGAGCACACTTTTATTAACATTTTGGGAAATTCTCACTCATATTCCAAGAAATTTTTTAAAATTAAAAAAAATGGCGGGATAGGCCGGATATCCGTTCCACCACTAATAAAAACTAAATAAAAAAATTTCTTTACCTTCCATCGGTGGTGTTTGAGTTTTAAAAACGGTGACGATTCCAGGTGGGAGAGGTGGAGGTCTCGTAACTGGCGGTAATTTCAAATTTAATTCCGAATTGTGTTTAATTTTTTGAGCATCTCTCTTCAAATCAATCCGGAAAATTTCGAACTCAGTTCCGTGATTAATCTGCAACCAATAAGCATTGATCGAATCCGACGATAGATTCCTCAACATCTCAACAATTTTATCATCCTTCAAATCCAAACGAACATCTCCTTCGGGGTACTTAATAATAACAACAGGAAATCCATTCCCTTGCGGCTCAAACCCCAAAATATCCTTATTCGATTGCTCGATTAACCCCCCTAATTCCTGGACGTTGTTAAAATCAACCCGAAAACCAAGAATATTCCCATCCGTATCAGGAATTTCAATCAACGAATACGGTAGTGAAAGATCGACGTTATCAGAAATATTCCTCAACGTTTTTAACGTTTCTATATTATTTATATCGATGGTTAATGGGGGAATTCGATTTTTACTTGGTAAGTTTGTGTATTTTATATGGGTAAAAACCAAGGGATATTGCCCGTGCGGGGGTAAAACGCGAATCGGACACCGATAAACCGGCTGATTCAATTGGAAATTCACGAAAACCTCGGATATTTGATAAAACATTTTTAAATCGTGAAGTTCGGTTTGGACCAAGGCGATGTCGCGTTGTTTTCGGGCCATCTCCTCAAACTCAGCTTCATAATCTTGATTCAAATCTCTTTTTACGCGTCTACTTCGTTTTCGTCGCTTTGTTTCTGGCGGTGAGGTTGTTGTTGGAGGTGGGGATGAATTTTCTAATGTTGTTTCTAATATACTTCTTTCGGAGGATGAATCATTTTCGTTGCTTGAGGATGATTCATCATCTTTGATAGTTGTTGATTCTTCTATGTTTCTTTCGGAAACTTCTTTTTCTTCTTCAATACTTCGATTTGATTCGGTTGATTCATCAGATCTTTCTACGTTATCTGTTGTTTCGTTTTCATTTGATCTTTCTTCACCGCTTGATTCTTCATTATCAGTTCTTTCTTTATTTTCATTACTTACATCTCCGCTTTCTTCGCCATCTTCTTCATTTGATCTTTCTTTACCACTTGATTCTTCATTATCAGTTCTTTCTTTATTTTCATTACTTACATCTCCGCTTTCTTCCTCACCTTCTTCATTTGATCTTTCTTTACCACTTGATTCCTCATCAGTTCTTTCTTTATTTTCATTGCTTACATCTCCGCTTTCTTCCTCATCTTCTTCACTTGATCTTTTTTTACCACTTGATTCTTCATCATCACTTCTTTCTTTATTTTCATTACTTACATCTCCGCTTTCATCTTCATTATTTGATCTTTCTTCATCGCTTGATCCTTCATGATCAGTTCTTTCTTTATTTTCATCTTCGCTTTCTTCTTCATCTTCTTCATTTGATCTTTCTTTACCGCTAGATTCTTCTTCAATGATATCAATTTCGTTATCTTCTCCAGAATCAAATTCTTCAAAACCACTTTCTATTATTTCTTCTGATTCAAACCCACTTTCTACATCTTCCCCGGATTCGGCTTCATTTTCAATGTCTTCTTCTAAATCAAACCCACTTTCAATCTCTTCTTCATCCGCATCTCTTTTTTTGCCACTCCATTCTTCGTCATCGTCTATTTCTTCCGATTCACCAGATTCAAAACCGCTTTCAACATCTTCTTCTGATTCAATTTCTTCGTCTAATTCAAATCCACTTTCTATTTCTTCTCCAGATTCTTCATCATCATCGTTTTCTTCTTCATCTTCTATAGCTGATGACTCATAATCATCGTCTTCTTCTTCTTCATCGTCTATAGCTGATGACTCATAATCATAGTCTTCTTCTTCATCTTCACCGTCTCTAGCTAATGCCTCATAATAATCGTTTTCTTCATCAATTGATTCGTAATTATCATCAAAATCATCATAAATTGATGCGTCTGAATCTGATATCTCTCTTTTTTTTAACAAATTGGAGTAATCACCAATCATAAACCAGTCGTCGTCGTCATCTTCGTCGTAATCATCAACATCTTCGTAATAATCATCATTATCTTCGTAATAATCATCATCATCTTCGTAATAATCATCATCATCTTCGTAATAATCATCATTATCTTCGTAATAATTGTTATCAACCTCGTTTTTAAGATCATCTTCGTAATAATCATCATCATCTTCGTAATAATCATCATCATCTTCGTAATAATTGTTATCAACCTCGTTTTTAAGATCATCTTCGTAATAATTATCATCATAAACATCTTTCTTGTAGTCATCATCATCATAGGCATCAATTTCGCTTTCCTCATCTTCATCATAATCAAAAGAAACTATATCATACTCTTCATAATCGTCTTCATAGTTATCATACTCATCTTCAAAGTAATCATTTCCGCTTTCCTCATTATTTTCATCATCAAAAATGTTAATTTCATAATCACCACTTGCTTTATATTTATCTTTAATATATTTAAGAATGTCGTTAGATATCGAATCAGAGCTTACATACATTTCTGGTTCCTTATTATCATAATTTGGATAATTTTGATAATTTGGATACGTATAATAAGAATTATAAAGGTTATATACCGGATTTTGTGAATAAGGATATTGATTATATTGTTGATAATATGGATATTGATTATATTGTTGGTAAAAAGGATATTGTGGATACTGATTATATTGTTGATAATAAGGATATTGATTATATTGTTGATAATAAGGATATTGATTATATTGTTGATAATAAGGATATTGTTGATAATAAGGATATTGGAGATAATTATTATTAATTTGATTATTATCACTATAATACAAATTACTTAAATTACTAGAAACTTTAGTCCTTGGAGGTTCAGTTAGTTCCTGAACTTCTTGAGTAACACTTTTTTGTGTTAAATCCCCATAAAAAGTTTCTTCAAGCTCAGGAGGAACAAAATCATCGCCATTTAACCCCCGCCTATTTTGTTTGATAAAACTATAATCATTCACATCATAAAGTGGGTTATCATTATCATCAAAATTCATATAAACCTTATTATCATCATTTTCATAATCATTTTCTTCATAAACATCCTCATAATCATCATCAAAATCATATTCTTCCAAAATTTCAACATCATCTAATCCGTCTTTGTAATTATCATAATAATCAAAATCATTTTTATCATAATCATCATCATAACCACTTCCATACTCATCAAATTCATCTAAATTAATTGAAGATGGTTGCAACCAAGGTTGAAAATCACCTTTCTCATCTTCCTCCTCAACATTAGGGATCATAACTCCAGGAATTAAAGGAATCCAAACCGGCATAACAACGCCCCTTTTATCTCTAAGCTCAATTTCTGTTAAACTATCATCAAAAAATTTCGATAACTTCACCAACTTATTAATTACATGTTTGTTGTGAGTGTCTAAAATTAACGCGACATTATCAGGAGTGGTTGCTTTAATAACTGGGTAACGATGTCTGAATGGTACAATTTTAATTGGAGATCTTTTCGTTAAAATTTGCAAACTTTCCAAAACTTTATCATCATTAAAATCTAAATAGACATGAATTTTTTCGCGTTTTCGAATAAAAAAAGTAATCGTTGTAGCGTTGGTGTTATCGTTAGATCCAACTCTTTCTAATTCTCTAAGGGTTTGTTCATCGTTTGGGTTAATCGTGATTGCGTACTGATTAATATCTCTTTGGACCATAATACTAAGGAGAGGTGCTCTTCCATAAGCGGGAATTACAATAATCGGGTCGATTTTAATTTGGCTTAGTGCGCTTAGGGGTTCTAAACAGTTCATGTTCATGTTTATCCGGATTTTTTGACGATTAATGTTTCTGAAGTGGAGTTTTGGTATTGATGATGCCGAAACGGTTTTTGATGCTTCCAATGCTGAGTAAATTACGTTTCCATCGTTTGGATTTAAAGTTGCGTTAAGATTTTTTGGGGCTAATCTCCAAGGGATTGAATAAATCTGAGGAAAAAATTAAGGTACGATTCAAAATTTGGTAATATTAAAATGTTAATAGATATAAAGGTGTTTTTTAACTTGTCTATGATCGATTTATCTCTTATTTTCATTGGAAAATATTAATTATTCTTGAAAATAAAAACGATATAACCTCAAAAAAATTGCTTATGGTGGTTGTCAATTTGATAGTACCAACTTAAGAAAAAATAAAGGTACTAAATTATATTATATTTATAAAAATAATTATAAATAAATGATTAATTATTTAAAAAAAATTGAATTAATATTTAACATTCCCTTCTAATGGAAATTTATCAATTTTAAAATAATTTAACGCATTCTAATTTTCAAGGTTGGTAATAACAACAGAAATGTCATAGTAAATTGGTTTTCAAAAAGGTTGTCTTTTTACTGTGATTACGTCAGTACGGGAGGCTTTTTATCGAGGAAATGTTTTGGTTGGAGTCTTCATTGATATTTTGTCGGCATATGATAATGTAAACATAATTTTATTAAGAAAACTTCGTCGTGATGGATGCCCTTCTGCGTCAATTATTGATCAGCTAAAGCATGATCCCAACGTGGAGTTAAAACAGTCGTGTTTGCAAACGATGTAGTTCTGATGAGGCGGTTGAAGTCATGAATGATGCATTGAATGTGACAGCAAACTTTTTTGAGGCGTCTGGCACCGAATAAGTCCAAAGCACTGTTTTTTTAGTCACAGGAGGAGATCTGAGCCCATTCTCCTAATAAAGCTAAGGGGTGAAAATATCACAATGACTGTGAACATGGTATACTTGGACGTGCATTAGAATGCAAAATTATCTTGGAAGGAACATATGAACTATATTATAAATAGTTGTCAGAAGATCTTTAATGTACTGAAGTCTCTTTTATCAACTAAATGGTGATGTGGTCCACTGATTTCACAGAAAAAGCACTACTTCCCGCATAAAAGGTTACACAAAATAATATGGACCTTGCCAAATGGACAAACTACAAATCAGATCGATCATATTTTCAAGACAAGGATCCTATGTACTTGACTGCAAAAGCTGTAATGGAGCGAATATTGATTCTGATCATTATCTGGTGGCAGGAACCATTAGAGCTCGAATATCTAATGCAAACAAAGGCGAGGGCGATGATAATAAGGTATAACGTCGAAAAACAGAAAAACCTAGAAACATCAGAAGCATTCATAACCGGGGTAGAGTAACGAATAAACCGGGCAAGCAAGGAGGAAATTGGACCTATGGGAGTCGATACTGCCTGGACACTTTTAAAGAGAAGACTTGTTAAACAGGCAGAAAAAGTGCTGGGACAAAGAAAAGACGAAACGATTGGTTCGACAAAAACAGAAACAGATTAAAGACACTGATGGAACACTGATTACTGAAAAGAGTGAGATAGTGAGAAGATGGCGGAACCACTTAACACATTACTCCACTCTGACAGTTAACAACAAGAATACGCGCAGCCAAATACAAATCAAGGCAATCACCCACCTTCAGTTCGATTATTATAAACATTTCGAAAAAAATTTTATTAGAAAGATCGCTTCATAATCATGTATTCTACAACCGTATAATGCTCTGATGCGGAAGATACGGGACACGCTGTATACGAAGAGTGTATAAATAATGGCGTATGCGGACGATATAGTGATTATAGTGAAGATCGCAGCATAAAAAATGCCGCATTAAATATAGGGCTGGTCATAAACTATCCCAAATCTAAGTGTATGTGTACATCACGCCGACACAGAATCATACAAGGACATATAAAGATTGAAGATGAGCTATTGGAGGTGGTAAAATATTTCCAAGACAGTCAAAACGACAAAACCAAGGAAATAAAGAAAAGAATATTCATGGCGAACAGATACTATTTTGCCCTATCCTCACAGCTAAGGTCGCGAAATCTGTCTAGGTAGACAAAATGTAAACTATACAAAACATCGATTGTATGTTTGATCGCACAATAAATACTAAATACTAAAAACGAGAGGAAGAAGCACTTAAGGTGTTAGTAAGGGAGGTGCTACATACTATGATTGGCGGAATAAGCGAACACGGACTATGGAGAAGGATACAACGACATGGACGTGGTTAATAGCTTGAGATGGGTGGGTCATGTGATAAGAATGGAGGAAGATAAACCCACAAAAATAGCAATATTGAACAGAGCGGTCGGAACCATCGGCCAGGGAGACCGAAACTGGATCAAAAACTAATGGGAATAAAAGCATGGCGAAGAAGAGCGAGAGACAGGGAAGACAGGAATGATATTCTGATGCAAGCCAGGGCCCACCTAGGGCTGTAGATTCAGAGAAGAAGAAAAAGATATCTACAATTAATTGCATGAGAGTGAGACCTGGCATGTATAGTATTGGTATGGTGGTATCTCCAAATTGCAGTTGCGGAGAAATTTGTGATTTTAATCACATTATTTTGGCTTATGAGACTTATGAGTTGCACAAGAAGTAGAAGAGGTTCCAAGGGGTATGGACTCAGCATAGAAAAGCGTAAAATGATAGGTGCGCCATAAAGAACGTCGAACAACTTACGAAAGTATAGTCCTGATAAGAATAATTGGCGCTTATACTACCATGTCGAATGCAGCATTGCAAGTACTTTAGGATATGCCACCAATAGATCTATATATCAAGAAGAGATTGAGCCAGAACGTGGACGAGACCAAGGACATTATTGAAAGAGAGTGGAACAAAGATGGGATAGTACCAGAGATGTGGCGAGATGGACGAAGAGGTTCGTGCCCGTTTTATATGTGTGGTTGAGGCGAGATTAGGGCGAGGCGAACTATTACGTGAGCCAGTTTATGGGGGGACACGGATGCTTCAGTGCTTCAAGTTCAGGAGAGTCTCCGATGACCGATGTATATACTGTGATAAAGAGGACGACGTAGAACACACGTTCTTTCAGTGTAGCAGGTGGGAAGACCTTCGAATGGATATGGAAAGGAAAGTGGGAAGAAGCTTGACTCCAGAAAATTGCGTGCAGACAATGATAAAAAGGGAAACCCAAGCAGTACAGAAATACATAAAAGTAGTTGTCAGTAGAAAGGAAAAAGAGGAAAGACGAGACTAATACATAGAAAAAAGAAGCCGCCTGTGCGATGGTGAAAACCCGCGAGGGTAAGTTCTGAGCAGGAGAAAGGCAGAGAAAAAGGGGCTGTCATTAAATTCACACTCCCGGCCGAAGAACAATATCTACTTCTTATAACAACTTTAAACCGCCAACAGTAAGTTGGGGTGCATAACACATTTTCCCCACACCAGCGCTAGAAAAAGGGTAGCAAGAAAGATTCATTCCTCTCTTTCGGAAGTTCTTTGCATTTGAGTTTTGGAAATTTATTTTACCAAAGGACTATCTAATTTGAATATAAACTGATACAAGAAAATTTGTGACTGGTGATAAAAGGGTTATATAAGTTATGCCAAGTTTTTTATCTCTGGCATTAAGAAAAAGATTAAATGGACCACGTTATATATCACTTGACTAAGCGATATTTTATCGTTTTTAGAGATTTTCATGCTATCTACCAGATGCTATCTGGTAGGTAAATGTGTAACTTATCTTAGAAAAAATTCAGAATACCGAAATACCTAAACTACTATTTGTTTTTAAGGATTTAAAGGAAGTCCGATTTGCATCATACGTCTAAGAACCGACTTAGATACGACACTTAGATACACCAAGAAATTGGTGTTTATGTCTTTTATTTTATATATAATTTAAGTTTAACTAGTTTTGGCCCTTGGCCAACTTCAGAGACTCTACAAATAGATTAACTTTAATAATTAACTTTAAGTTGTCAATGTCAACTTTAATTTTATTATTATATCTTCATAAAATAACCTTTAAAATGAGTCCAAATATGATGCATTTATCTCAAAAATCCAAAATTTCGAACATTCAACTTTTAATTTTGACATATTTGTCAACTTCATAAAAAATCCTTTAAAATGAGTCCAAACTCGACATATTTAACTTTAATATTAATGGAAATACAATCACTTCCGGTTTGAAACGTCAACGTTAATTTTGACATATTTGTAATAAAAAACATTAAATCCTAAGTTAGCAACAATGAAGATAGCAATTTAATTTTTAAATATTAATACCAACCTTAATTTTTTAATTTTTTTTTTATTATATTTTTGTTTTTGTGACAAATATTAAGACATTTTATAAAATTAAGAATATGTCAAAATGACATTGACATTTCAAACCGGAAGTTGCTTATATCTCGAGTAATATTGGAATTAAACGTATCTTGTTTGGATTCATTTTAAAGAATTTTTCACAGCGATTACAAATATGTCAAAATTGACGTTGACATTCTTAACCGGAGGTTGACCATAACTTCATTAATATTGAAGATAAATATGTCGTGTTTGTACTCATTTTAAAGGATTTTTAATGAACATTACAAATATGTCAAAATTGAGGTTGACATTTTAAACCTGAAGTTAGTTATCATATAATAGAAGTTTTATAACTGAAGTAATCTAGTGTTAGTAACTTTTCCTTTTATTTTTAACGTATTACTACGTATTTTACTTGTAACATTTCGTTCTTAATTTCATTTTACAACTTTTTAAACTTTAATTTTGTAAATTAGTAACTAATAACTGTCTATTCTGAGAAATCTTATATTTTTAGAGAGGTGAAAACGAAAATCCCGTTTTTCTCAACATTATTAATTTGTCTAAATAACAATAAAAGTAATACTTACATAATATTCAAGATGTCCATTTGGTGGTCGGATTGAAATTCTGCTAGGATAAACATTTCGAATCGATAAAGTTATAAGTTGATGAACGATTCTTTGATTTGCCGGTTGATATTTAAATAAGAAAACGGTTTTAGTTCTTGTATCTAAAACATTCGCTTGGGCCACCATCGTATTAGTTTGTGTTTCCTTCGATATCTTAATCAATCCATCCAAAACGATGTGATCCATAAAATCTAGTTGCAACTTAAGTAAATGGAACTCAACGTCCATAACGGTTAAATATAAATAATCGGGTATCTGCATTAACGGCGTTTGTTGAACGGGGCAATTTTCGGAAATTGTTTCTAAATAATTTAAAACTTTTCGATTTGTTAAAACAATATCGAGGTTTTCGATGATAATTTCAACGGGATTTAAAATATTCGTTTCGATTACTTCGTCCAATAAATTTCTGAGATCTCCCATAAATTCCTCATCATTACTGTTAATAATGATGGGTTGGAAAGGATTATTTTGAGTTGGAATCGTTAAAATCGTAACTGGTTTATTCCCCAAAGTGCTTGAAATCTTGATAGGTTTAAACGGCTTGCTCGTGTATTCTTGAAGACTTCTTAATTTCTCAACGGTTGAATCATTTTGCAAATTAATCCGGATTTCAATTGGGTAACCATCAAAGTGGTGTAAATTAAAGAATGAATAAGGCGGTGGGATTTTTTCTTTCGATAATGTTATTAGGGTGTCATAAACGATTTTTACACTTCGATCTAAAACGATTATTTCTGTTAAATCTTCGTAGGTTTTTACCATAAATGCTATGATTGATTTATGATCTAATTGTGTCGCAACAATTTTCGATCCGGGATTCGCTTTATCTTCTAAATCAAATCTGATAACAACGGTTACTTTTAATTCATCCGGAATGTAAAGTAAGACCCCTAATTTTATTTTAGGCGTTTTCCTACTGCGTTCTAATAAGTTATTAAAAACTTCGGGTTGGGACACGTCGAAGATATAAGTGTCGGTTCTCCCATTATCCGATTCTATTGGTAAAGTTAAAGTTGTTAATAACCCGGCGTTTAAAACCGGGAAGTTTTTCATTGCATCTCGAGGAAGTTGAATTGTACTCGATAATTTGTTTAAAGCTTTCGTTACTTCCGATTGGCTTATATCTAAGATAAAAATTTCTTTTTCTCGACGAACGTTGATGAATTTAATTTCTAAAGGAAACGTCGCTGAAGTGTTGTGAAGCTTATTTAAGGTGTTTATAACTTCGTTATTACCCATGTCTAAAATAATTTGCAAATTATCTTTGTATGGGTCTAAAATTGTGAATGAAATAAACGGAACGTTCCCAAATGGATTTGGAACCTCCACCGGTCTAATAAAACTCGGCGTTTTTAATTTCAACTTTTTAACCGTTAATAATTGTTCTTCATCTTTCATGTTGAGTTTAATTAATTTAACGAAATCGCGTTTATTAATCGTGAAGAGATGCGTCGATTCTTGCAATTTAGTTTTCGCGGAAATCTCCAAAAGCTCATCGACGACTTCTTTATTCATCAAATCTAAAATAACGATTTCGCGAATTCCCACTTTCTCATCGGTTAATTGCATATGAATTAACGATCCGGGATCTGGGATGTATTCGACGCGAAACGCGATGTCTTTTAATCGATTCAATGATTTCTCATCGTTGGTGGATAAATAAATTTCTTTTAATTCGCCCGAAGAATTTTTTAATATTATTTTAACCCTCGAGTGAAACACGTCGGATTTCGCCGCCTCCTCGAAGAGCGTTTCAACGACTTCCGGTTCGTTTAAATTGAAATGCAACATCACGGTGTGTCCGAGGATATCGACGAAACAAATTATTAATTGATATTCGTCTTTATCGATAGGGTCGAACCAAGTGTTGCTGATATTTTCGTCGGGTGTTTCGTTTAATTCAATCATATTTCTATCTTGCTCTATTTCTTCGGGGTTTTTTGTGTATTTATCGTCTTGGTAATTTTTTGGTTTGCTCGGTTCGATTTGTGGGGAAGGATTTTTGGGTAACTCTTTCGCTGTGATTACAGCAATCGTTTCGATTATTCTTATATCGGTTAAATCGAGGTGAACCACAACGAATTTCCCATCGACGATGAAATCGACGAGAATCGCATCAGGATTTTCTGGGTCATCTAATCGTTGTAGCGTTTCAATTACGTTATTATCAGAAATGTCTAAGATTAATTGGCCGTATAACCCATCTTCAATTTCAATTGTAAGTATTAATAGGTTATTTTTTTGTATCGGGGGAGACATGTAAATCAAAAATCCTGATTGGAGCTCCTTAATGATGGTTTGCATTGCTAAGGGGTCGTTTAAATTGAACTTAAATCCGCCGTTGATTTCGTCATCTCCGATTAAATGCATTAAATGTACTTTTGATTTTATATCGATGATTTGGTGTAATCGATTAATTAATCCAATAACTGGGCCGTGATTCGGGTCCAACGCGATCAATTTTGATTCCCCCTCAGGTTTTATTTGGATTATAATCAAAGAATTCGGATCCGGCTGGATTAAAAGAGCCCCGCAAATTTGTTTCAACCTCTTTATAGTAACACTAAATTGCAAATCATAATAAATCGTAATTGGTTTATTCGTCAAAGGCGATAAAATATGAAAAGCAGTTCCCGGAGTCCTCCTAGTACATTTCCCCGGGATTCTCAACAACTCATTAACCACACTCCATTTAGTCACATCGCATTTAACAATTAACGTTTGAGAATTCATCTTATTAATAGGAATCAAAAGTTGTTTGGGATATTTACTCGGAATATTTGCAAGCAAAGTTTGAGGGAGTTGCGACTTCAATCCGAGTTCTTGAAGGCGATTTTTCACCAAATTATCCGAAAAATCCAAATATAACTTCTTTTTATTTCCATGACTATCGTGGAGATTAAGAAAACTACTATGATGATTCGAATATCCCGCTAATTGGATCAAAGCATCCACGATCTTCTCGTTATTCGTGTCTAAAATAACACACCTCGATCTCCCTTGCTCATCATCCACGCTTACTATTAAATAAGGATACCCAAATTTCCCACTAGGGATTTCTAAAACCTCCAAATTCGTTGGTGTAAAAACATTTAATTGTTCCACAATATTCAAAGTTCTTAAATCGTCCATATCGATTTTTTTAACTCGTTTAACTCCGTTTTTATCAGGAATTGTAACCGTTACAACCCCACAATTTTCCGATTTCACATCCGGCAATTTCAACAACTCCTCCCTAACCCCCGGATTATTCATGTTAATAATATGGGGGGGATAAATTAAAACCCCATAACCCGAATTAACATCCCCAACGATTATTTCCGAGTTTATGGCGGTCGTTAAAACCGTATGGACCACCTGATCGTTGTCACCATCGATGCTAACGATGTAATTTTCGTAAGCTGGGCCGTTAAAGATGGCTTTCGGCGCGGTTTTAGGAGCTGAATAAGTAATTTCTTTTAAAACTTTAACAGTTTCGGGTCTTAATGTATCTAAAGTTACCCTATACAAAGTATTTTCGGAATCTTTTAAATTCAAAGTGACTAAATTCCCGAGATTCGTAGCTGGTACTCTTGATGAAGGTATTTTTTTGGTTAATTGAATCAATTCTCTTTTCGTTTTGGGATCGTCCTTCTTTAAAAATACAATCGTGTTTTCGCCGGTTCTACTATTCAAAATAATCTTTATTGCGTCTAAATTATTAGGGTCGTTTAATGATAGAATTGTGTTTCTACTTTGTGGGTCTTCTTGATCGATACAAACCGTTGTTTTTGTTAATTCTTCTTTTTTTTGTGTAAGCTCATCGTTATTTTGTGTTGTAATACTTCTTTTTGTAATCTTTAAACTTTTTATGTTTACCTTTTTTAAATCACCTGAGTCTAAACCGCGTTTAACTCTTTTTACTAATTTTCTTTTTAAAATGGCACGTTTTCTTCTTGGCTTAATTTGAAGATTTTCACTCGAAATTTGACGTTTTCTTCTTGCTGGAACCGTTGTGGGTGAAATTGTAGTTTCCCCAGGATTTGTAACTTCATCTTTAGATGTTGCAGATTCCGTTGCTGAATCATCACTTCTTACACTTTCATTTTCAACTTCTTTAATGGTTGTTAATCCTTCAGTTGTTGTAGTAGTTTCTTCTGCACTTCTTTCTTCGCCAGATGAGTCTCCTTCATTTTCTGGGCTTGATTCATCATCACCACGTTCTTCATTTCCATTTTCTTTGTTGTTTTCTTCTTCTCCAGATGATTCATTATCATTTCTTTCTTCTCCAGATGATTCATTATCATTTCTTTCTTCTCCAGATCCTTCATTATCATTTCTTTCTTCTCCAGATCCTTCATTATCATTTCTTTCTTCCCCACTTTCTTTGTTTTCGCCATTTTGTTCTGTTTCATCCTCAATACTTTTTTCTTCTCCAGATCCTTTATTATCATTTCTCTCTTCCCCACTTTCTTTGTTCTCTCCATTTTGTTCTGTTTCATCCTCAATACTTTTTTCTTCACCAGATCCTTCATCATCACCTCTTTCTTCTTCCACAGATTCATCACCCTCAGCTGTTCTTTCTTCTCCCGATTCTTCATCTTGAACATTTCTTTCCATATGACCACTTTGATCTTCTTCATTTACGTTTCCTTCTTCTTCACCTGATTCTCCATCTCCATCAGTTTCTTCAACATCAACATTTTGTTCTTCTCCAGATTCTATGTCATTAGAAATTTGGTCTTCTCCTGATTGTTCGTCGTCTTCTTTATTTTCTTCATCTATAATAAAAATAAATTAATATAAGTATGATAAAAGCTATTAGATCATGAATTCCATTTTCTAACTCAATATTCCTTACATATAAAATTGTCACTGTGAGTGAAGAATATGGATTATATTATCATTGAATATAAGCAAATCAAGTAGAATATATGATAAAGGTGACCCCTATTGAAAGAGTCAGAGAATATAAGTATCTAGGCACAATAGTGAATGAAGACAACGACTCTCAAGAAACACGAATTAGTAATCGAGCAGGCAAGGAGTACATTTGTAGAAATAAAGAGGCTTTTATGTTGCCAGGATTTAAACCTTGGATGGGGGCTTGGACTCTGAGAGGGATCGATGTAACGAGACTGGAGACATTTAAGATGTGGATATATCGGAGGATGCTAACAATCTCATGGACGCAGAAGAGACCAACGTAGAAGTGATGAGACGGATGAGATAGGAGATTAATTGACACAATAAAAGAGAAGATATAATTCAGGCAAAAATAACCAGCTATTTAGATCTGCGGTCTCAAAAGTGAGAATCACCTTAATAATAGCTAAGCTTCAAATAGCTTTTTTTGGGTACCTTTGAAGTTATGTGTGAGACGCACAATATTCTCTTTTGCTCGTATTCTATAGATCTTATGCCAGATTGCCTTTTGTGTTGAGCGTGTGATTCATCACGTTGAAGTGACCAAGCTAGCATTGATGTTTACCACTTCTCCTACATTCTTCTTTTACATTCTGTTGGAAGAAACAGCTCTTTGCTAACATCTCCTAAATTGTCAGCAACCCAATATAAATGAGAGTGCAACTTCACGCTTATGTTACAACCTGATTTTTTGAAGATTTTTAGCATCACATCGACTAACACCTTATAATTACCAACTCTACTATTGCCTAAGAAACCATCGGCAATTTCTTTGAAGGCGTCTCTTTCATCATATTTTCAAAATCAGCAGTTTTCATCAATAGTCGAATCGTCTTCGTTTATTTTGACATCACACTCATGTTGGGATATTTATTTGCAAGGTACTTAAAATAAGCACCATTTTTATTAAAGGTCTTTATGAACTGCTTCATTATTCCTAATTTGATATTAATTGGGGGTAATAAAACCCGACTGTTGTCCAAGAATCATGCCAGTAATTTTCAAATCTTCATATATTCTATTTCTTGTGCTGCTTATATTTAATAGTTTCCAGATTATAATAGTCTACATTTCTGCACGAAGGCACTGACATCATTAGAATAAACATAGCTATCACCTTCAGAGAAGAACTCAATAAATGAGTTCTCTCGATGTCTATGCTAAGAGAAGGTAGTTCCAGGAGCAATGATTCTGGAACTCCTAGACCAAATCATTTAGTGCAGTCTGATCATACAGATTAGAGTCTTCATAATCAAGTGAATTGATGTCTTCATTTTTCTTCTTCAAATATGGTGGAATTGAAGGAATATCGTCAGATTCAATGAAAAAATGACAAGGTTTCTTAACACTTACTGCACTTGGATACTTAATATTATGAGAATTTTTAGTATTAAAACCGCCAGTTTTAGTTAAACAAAAATAGCAGTTATCGTGACTGAAAGGTTCTCGTAGTACCGTTCAATAGCGCATTTTCAAGGGCAAGGATGTAAGAGATAGACTTGAACAATAAAATATTGTGCGTCAGGTACATAACTTCAATATTAACCAAAAAAGCAGAATCCACGAATTCTTCAAATTTTCATATAATTGTGTTTTTCTCGATATTGATGCATCTGAGAGCAAAAGTGCAAGTTGCTCTCTTATAGTTTTTATTGTTAGGAAAAAAATTTGTTACAACTTTTGTTCTAAAAGTTTTTTTATAACAAGCTCTCTTTATCAAGTGTTACCATTAACAACTTGAAACAGCAACAAATTTATCAAATTTTCATATTTTTCTAGGTATTGACGCATCTGAGAGCAAAAATGCAAGAGAGCAATATTGTTACGTATAAAATTTGCTGCAACTTTTGTTCTAAAAGTTTTTTTATAACAAGCTTTGTTTCTCAGATGTTACCATTGACAACATGAAAAAGCACAAATTCATCAAATTTTCATATTTTCGTATTTTTCTGGATATTGACGCATCTGAGAGAAAAGTGTAATAGAGCGATATTGTTAAGCATAAAATTTGCTACAACTTTTGTTCTAAAAGTTTTTTTATAACAAGCTTTCTTTCTCAGATGTTACCATTGACAACTTGAAGAAGCAACAAATTCATCAAATTTTCATGTTTTCGTATTTTTCTCGATATTGACACATCTGAGAGCAAAAGTAGAAGAGAGCGATATTGTTAGCTATAAAATTTGCTACAACTTTTGTTCTAAAAGTTTTTTTGTAACATACTCTAATTCCCGAATGTTACCTATCATTTCTAATAAAACAACGAAATTCATCAAATATTCATATTTTCGTATATTTCTCGATATTGACGCATCTGAGAGCAAAAATGATACAGAGCAATATTGTTAACAATAAAATTTGCTACAACTTTTGTTCTAAAAGTTTTTTTGTATCATACTCCAATTCCCGAGTGTTACCTATCATTACTAATAAAACAACGAAAATCATCAAATTTTCATATTTTCGTATATTTCTCGATATTGACGCATCTGAGAGCAAAAATGATACAGAGCAATATTGTTAACAATAAAATTTGCTACAACTTTTGTTCTAAAAGTTTTTTTGTATCATACTCCAATTCCCGAGTGTTACCTATCATTACTAATAAAACAACGAAAATCATCAAATTTTCATATTTTCGTATATTTCTCGATATTGACGCATCTGAGAGCAAAAATGATACAGAGCAATATTGTTAACAATAAAATTTGCTACAACTTTTGTTCTAAAAGTTTTTTTGTATCATACTCCAATTCCCGAGTGTTACCTATCATTACTAATAAAACAACGAAAATCATCAAATTTTCATATTTTCGTATATTTCTCGATATTGACGCATCTGAGAGCAAAAATGATACAGAGCAATATTGTTAACAATAAAATTTGCTACAACTTTTGTTCTAAAAGTTTTTTTGTATCATACTCCAATTCCCGAGTGTTACCTATCATTACTAATAAAACAACGAAAATCATCAAATTTTCATATTTTCGTATATTTCTCGATATTGACGCATCTGAGAGCAAAAATGATACAGAGCAATATTGTTAACAATAAAATTTGCTACAACTTTTGTTCTAAAAGTTTTTTTGTATCATACTCCAATTCCCGAGTGTTACCTATCATTACTAATAAAACAACGAAAATCATCAAATTTTCATATTTTCGTATATTTCTCGATATTGACGCATCTGAGAGCAAAAATGATACAGAGCAATATTGTTAACTATAAAATTTGCTACAACTTTTGTTCTAAAAGTTTTTTTATAACAAGCTTTGTTTCTCAGATGTTACCATTGACAACATGAAAAAGCACAAATTCATCAAATTTTCATATTTTCGTATTTTTCTGGATATTGACGCATCTGAGAGAAAAGTGCAATAGAGCGATATTGTTAGCTATAAAATTTGCTACAACTTTTGTTCTAAAAGTTTTTTTATAACAAGCTCTCTTTCTCAGGTGTTACCATTGACAACATGAAAAAGCACAAATTCATCAAATTTTCATATTTTCGTATTTTTCTCGATATTGACACATCTGAGAGCAAAAGTGTAAGAGAACAATATTGTTAGGCATAAAATTTGCTACAACTTCTGTCCTAAAAGTTTTTTTATAACAAGCTCTCTTTCTCAAGTGTTACCATTAACAACTTAAAAAAGCAACAAATTCATCCAATTTTCATATTTTTGTATCTTTTTTGCTATTGACGCAGCTGAGAGCAAAAGTGCAAGAGAGCAATATTGTCAGGTATAAAATTTCCTACAACTTTTGTTCTAAAAGTTTTTTTATAACAAGCTTTGTTTCTCAGATGTTACCATTAACAACTTGAAACAGCAACAAATTCATCAAATTTTCATATTTTTCTCGATATTGACGCATCTGAGAGCAAAAGTGCAAGAGGGCAATATTGCTAAGAATAAAATTAGCTACAATTTTCGTTCCACAAGTTTTTTTGCAATATGCTTTGTTTTCAGAGTTTCACCATTACCTTATGAAACTATGAATTCTTCAAATTTTCAGATTTTCGCATTTTTTTTACATTCATGCATCTAAGAGCTAAAGTAAAAGAGAGCATGATTGATGAGCTCGGATTATAATTCTACGAAAAAAATTACTTAAGAAATGACTTTAACCGACAACAAAACGCAGTTCTGTGTTGTGATGATGACAAAGAATATACTTAATAAAAAATTACCTGATTCTTCATCATCAACGAAATGTTCAACACCAAGTTCTTCGATATCATCATTTCCTGATTCAGCATCATCATCATTTCGTTGCTCACCAGATTCTTCGTATTCGAGATTTATTTCATCACCAGATTCTTCTTCACCACTTTGTTTTTCCTCTAATTCTTCTTCTTCAGATTCTTCTTCACCACTTTGTTCTTCATCATTTTCTTCTTCCCCAGATTCTTCTTCATCAATTTGTTGTCCCCCAGATTCCTCATCTTCATCATAATTTTCTTCATCACCAGATTCTTCCTCATTATCATATGATTCATCTCCAGATTCTTCTTCATCGTTATATGATTCATCACCAGATTCTTCTTCATCGTTATATGATTCTTTTTCATCGTTATATAATTCATCTCCAGATTCTTCGTCTTCATCTTCAATTTGTTTCATTTTTCTTTTATAATGATGATCATTTCCTAATTGATGAATACCATGTAGGCCATTTCCGTGGTGTAAATCGTGTTCGAAATCATCTTCTTCGTAATAATCATCTTCTTGGTGTTCATCTTCATAGTCTTCTTCGTAATGATATTCTGATTCATGAACACCATGTAAGAAATTATTATGGTACTCTTCATGTTCATAACTTTCTTCTTCATAATCATCTTCTTCATAATCATCTTCGAATTCATGAGTACCATGTAAATAATTATTATGATTTAAATCGTGTTCATAACTTTCTTCATCTTCATAATAATCATCTTCATAATAATCATCATCATAATAATCACCTTCATAGTAATCATCTTCATAATAATCATCTTCATAGTAATCACCTTCATAATAATCATAATCTTGATAAGTTGTTTCATAATGATAACTTTTATTATAAATCGTATTTTCTTCAAAATAATAACTTTCCCCTTCATAATAATCACTTCCTTCATAATAATCATCTTCATAATTCGTTTTTTCACTTTTTGTATAAACATGAGAGTACTTTTTTTCTTCATTATAAGCATATTCACCACCATATTCTATATATAAAGTTTCAGGTTCGTTTGCATTTTTAGTATTTTCACGATTTTCAGTTATACCCTCTTTATTTTTTTCAAGATCATAATCATAATTTTTATTATAATCTTCATAATCACCATTTTCTTCATAATCTTCATCCTCATTTGGTACATTATAATCATCAGAATCACCATAATCATAATAATTATCATTATAATCACCACTTTCTTCAAAATCTTCATTTTTATCATCATAATATGATTCAATATAATCACCACTTTCCTCAAAATCCTCATTTTGATTAATATAATTATTATATGATTCATTTGGTACATTATAATCACCACTTTCCTCAAAATCTTCATTTTTATTAACATAATCATAATATGATTCGTTTGGTACATTATAATCATCAATATGCTCAAAATAATAAACATAATGAGTTGTTGACTCGGTTGGAATCGAAGTGGTAAAAAGTTCACCATCCGTATTAAACTGAAAAGATTGAGTGGCAACCTCTTCATTGTTTTTTTCATAAACTTTGGGTGTTGTAAAAAATTTAAGATGTTCCTCCGGATCGACGGTGCTAACAATAAAATAATTATCATCGAATTCTTTTTTTTGATCATCTTGATAGTTATACTCGTAATTATATTGATCGAAATCGAAATAATCCTCGATTTCTTTCTTGTTATAATCCTCGTTAATTAAATAATAATCGTATTCTTTTGTTGATTCTAAAAAGCTGGGTGTTGTAAAAGAATTCCATAAATCATCGGGATGAATCGTTGGTTTTTTTTCGTTAATAATTTCTTTTGGGGGTTCCGGGATGTTAATAAAATCATCGGGGGATGTCATGATGTAAAAACAAATTAAAGGTAACCCTCCTTTCGGGTTAATTAATTTAGTTGGGGCTAAATCCGAGCTAGTTTTATCAACCATTTCGATTAAACTCGGAGCATAATCATCTTCGATATAACCATTATAATAATCATAATCCATCAAAAAAGTTTTCGCCTCCCGATTTAAATCGCTGTAATAAATCGCGTTTTTCGTCGCGGAATCTTCTCGCACATTCATCGTAATTTTCTCCATATTTTTCATCATATCCTTCGGTCCTATATGGATTAAATGGTGTTTTAATTGCCCGATTTCGTCGGTTAAAACGACGAGAAAAACGGTTCCCGGATCGGGGAGGATTTCGATTTTTGACGAGACATCTTTTAATGCTTGAATTACGTGGGGGTTATCTAATTTGCAATAAATTTCGTCGCGTTCTCTATCAGGGCGGGTTATAAAAATCGTCGCTGAATTTTTATGAGTTCCTTGACAAATATTTACGATTTTATCGAAAACTTTTTGATCCGTACCTCGGATATATAATAACTTTTTAGTTTCATCTTCGTAAATTGGGATGGTACTTAAAGATTGTACCCCATAAAATGATCTGAAAGAGTCGATTGGGGCGATTTTATTAAAATCGGTTATTATGACTTTATCGGGGTTAAGATCGGGTTCGGGGAGTTTCGTTAAAATTTTTGCAACCTTTGGGTTAAAAATGTTGATTTTTAGGGGTTCCCCGGATTTAAAAGGGATTGTAACCGCGTTGGTGTTGTTGGGTTCGTTAAGATGTTTTATTTTTTTATAAATGCTGGGTTTGTCGTCGAATAGAATCGGTTGCATCGGGTTTTTTGGGTCACCCCGATTCGGGATTATCATCGCAATTATCGTTTTGTTATCGGGGGTTGTTAATGATGTGGGCGAAATCGGTTGTAAAAAGGGTTTTGAAGCTTCCGCCCATAAAAGTCGCTTAGTTAATGGGTCGTTAAAGTTGATAAAGAGGGGTTGAGCCGGCTCAATCGGCACATTTATTATTGAGTATGGCCCCTTTAAGTTGGGATTTTCCCCGATTTTTTTTAGCTCGTTCGAAACTTCTTTGATTTCGGGTAATAATATGGTGAAGAATTTTGAGCCGGGGGATTTTGGGGCTACGATTATGTAAGATACGTTTTTGTAATCGTTGTATTCTTCGACTTTTATTTTATCTTGTGCGATGTGCTTGATTAATTGGGGGTCCATGTCGTCGAAGTTTAAATAGAGGTAAATGTATTTACCCCTTTGATTTTTAACATAAACCGTGGCTCGGTTATCGGTGATGTTTCGGTTCTTCTCCCACGCGTTCGACATCCTTTTTATTAATTGGAGCGCGATTTGGTCGCGCAAATCGAATTCTAAAACGGTGATTTTCCCCGTGACTAAGTTTTCGCAATAAAAAACATGCCGGGTTTCGTTAACATAAGGATCTATTAATGGATAAGTTCTTTTAATCCCCATTAATGATTTAATATTACCCTCCGAGCTTACAGTGAATGATATTTTTAAAAAACCCCCGGGTTTCGTCGCAACAGGGGTTGGCTTATTTAAGCACTCTTTCGTGCTAAACTCATTGAGGACTTTCCAAATTAAAAATGATTTTTCCCCAAAAATAACTGAATACCAAGGTGCCCCAACAACACTAGGGAATGGTAACACATAAATATAATCTTTAGGGGAAACCACATCAATCGAAGCTTTTAATATCTCAAAAACATCCTCATAAGCGTTTAAATCAATATAAAGTTTATAACTTTTTTTATTAATATCCCTAAACTCCACTAAAGGTTTTTCTGGGTGCTCAATCGAGCGCTTTGATAAATCCCGCAAAATAATCCAAGTGTCCTCTTTGTTAAAATCGAACTTTAAAGCTTCCATCCTTTGGAATTTCGTAGGAATAAAAATAATTAACGTCGTTACATAAGATACATCGACGATTCTTTTATTTGTATCGTAATTTTTGATGATATCCCGAAACTTTTCGTCCTCTAAATCCATCATGATGTTATCATTTCCACTTTCGAAATAAAATAAATGCTTCGCGTTGGGGTTAAAGTTATAATTGGTTATAATTTTTAAGGTTTCTTCGTCGTTGAGGTCTAAATGGACGTAATCGAAGCCTTTTTCTCGTTTAAAAAAGAAAATCATTTCGTTGATGGGTAAAAATACTTCGGGGGATGTCTCAACGTCGGGGTTTAAAAGATCGTTGTCATTTACGCTTTCAAAAAGTGATATTAAATAATGCGAGTAAGGATCTTTAATTTTTTTGCCACATTTAACGACTTCTTTGCAGCAAGCCCCTAATTTTATGCAACGAATCGAGCATTTTTTTAAAATCACGTCGATTTGTTTCTTATAAGTCCTTATTATATGGATTTGTCTTATAATATCCGCTACGATTTTCTTCGAATTCTTCTTTAAAACATAAATATAATCCAGCAAAGAAATAACATCGTCCGATAAAAATATCTTCGGGATATTAACATCATTTTCTAGATAACCCCCGACTTCTTTATACATCTCTTTAGTCTCGGGGTCCGTTTCGTTTAATTTAGCAACCTCGTCCAATAACTGTTTAATAACACTTTTAGAATCAGTTGAATTAATCAAATTATGCGTCGTAATTAAATGAGCGACCTCTTTAATCCTTTCAATCCTTAATTTACTAACGATGTGTTTCACTTTTAAAATCACAATAACAGGAACATTCGGTTGTTTAATTAATTCGTCTAAATAATTTTGTGATTGTATTATTAAACTAATCGGGATATAATCGATTAAAGGATACCAAATGCATTTCGCTTTAACACAACTCGGGGGGAAAATAACATCTAATAAAGTTGTCTCCCCATCGTTTTCGTTTAAATTACTTTTTAACTCCATAAAAAGACTTTCGCCGCATTTCGGGATGTTAACACAATTAACATTTTCTAAATTATTAATTGTTTCGTGGATGTTAATTTGTGATAACGATGTTCTTAATTCTGAAATATCGGATTTAGCTGTTTCATCATTCGTGGCTTCGAGTAAATGATCCACTAATTTATCAACGGCTTTTGGAGTTATCGTTTTAGGTAGATGCTTTCTTAAACTGTCGATGAAATATTTAAAATTCAACGTGCTTTGATAAACCCCATGGGATAATAAAACCTCCTCCGGGACGCTAAGCATAAACGACACAATTATATTTTGAGTTGGATCCGGTTCGAATCGATTCAAATAAATCCTAATTTGTTTTAACGAAATAAAATCTCTAATAACTTCGAGATCTAAACGAATACAAAGCGGTAAAGTTTTATCGAGTTTTAATAACCGATCGAATTCATCATCAATTTTTTTAATAATCCCGTTAATTTTAGTCGATTTTAAACAATCTAACCAAAAACATTTTTGAAGCGTACACATCGGTGGATACAACAACTTCATTATTAACTCTGAATATTTCTTTTGGGGCACCTTCAACATCTCATCTTCAAGATTATTAATACACACCTCGAAACTAACACACTCCAACGAATGCATTAATAAATTTTGCGATAAAACATTCTGTTTTCTCTCAATTTCTTTGATTATCCGACTCAAATAGCGTTGTATCCGGATTTCGGAGGTTTTCGTTTTTAAAATTGCCCCGATTTGAATTAAATTTAGTGAGTGTAAGTATTTCGGGGATTCTTTATCTAAATAGTATTCTAATAAATTTTGGGTGCTCATTTTAATCTCGAATGGAACGTGCTCGTTTTGGGATTGGATTAAAATTTGTAACGCTTTAACGTGGATGTCGTTTCGATCTTTAAAATAAACTAATTTATCGGGGAAAACGTTTTCTGATTGTGTTGATCGGAAAAAATCTGAAATTATCTCGAGATCTAACGCGATGTGGAAAAAGGTTTTGGTTCTTTTTGATAAAACCGAGTATTTATCTTGCATTATTTTTAAAAATTTCTTTTTTTCTAACGATGAAACGTCGATTTTATGGGGACAATCGATTCTTGAGCAATCGTCTCCTTCTAAAACGTTTATTATTAACCCAAAAACCGAATCGTCCTCTAAAAAGTTATTATAAACGTTTTCGTGCAAACTCCTCAAACATTGATCGAGGTAATAACACATCACACGCATCGATTTTAATTTGTTATTAACATTTTTCGACTCTTGCCCGATCGTAAATTGAAGCGTGTTAATTTTGGTTCGATAATTTTGATCGATTAAGTCGAAAAGTAAAACGTTTAATAAATCGATTAAAGTTTTTGAATTCAAATTAATCGGGATCGTTTCGTTTAAGAGATAACTTATTATGTAGTTTGTGTAGGTGTTTAAATCTGCTGGGACATCTTCCACTTCTAATAATTTGTACCATTCGATTAAAGCCGGTTCAACTTCATCTCTTAATTTATCAATGTTGTTTAAATTCGTTGTTAATTGAGTTTTATTTTTGTTGTAATCTTCTTTGTAATCATCTTTATAATCGTAATTTTCTTTGTAATCATCTTTATAATCGTAATTTTCTTTGTAATCATCATAATTTTCTTCATAATGGGAATCTTTATAATTATAATCGTCAGAATAATCACCTTCTTCGAGATTATTTAAATCGTTTAAATCATATTCTTCGTTATTTTCATCGATTTCGTTATCTTCGGAATCTGCATCATCGTAGGATTTTTCATTTGATGGGTTATAATAATTTAAGCCACCATCGTAGACGTCGTTCTTATAATATTCGTATTGATTCTTATCGTTACCATATTCTGAAAAAATTTTAGCATCTTTATCATTCTGCCGATTGGAAATTAATAAATTAATAAAGATACTGTGCAAAAAAACCCAAGTGGCACTTCACGGCAGATTGCAAACAACCAAAAGATGAAAAAACTAAATGCGTTCGTTATGGTTGACAACACCCAGCTAATTATCTTGGATGTATGGTGGCCAAAGAGTTGCAATTAAAGCAAAAATCAAAACATAGTGGCTAATCAACTGATAATAATAGAATGGAATCCCAGTGGTTTGCAGAAACATCAACAAGAGCTGCAAATAGTCCTGTATATAGAGAAACTTAATGTATGCCTAATTGCTGAAACACATTTTACCAAAAAGTCACATATCAAGTTTAAGGGATACAAGGTATGTTAGACAATTCACCCTGATAATGACGCAAAAGGTAGTTGTGGTATTATTACTTGTTATAATAAAGCAGAACTAAAACTATGTTATTAAAAAGTTTCACTTCACTTAAAATTATGTCACAATAGGTGATGCTTGTCAGTTGGTGGTTGTGCGTTAACTGTCGTTGGTAGTCGTTGCACTATTTTTATACGTGAGCATTCCATAGTTCTGCCGCTAGATGTCGCCATATAGTCACTAAAGTCCCTAAATTTACAAAGTACCGCGGTTTGACGCCATTTTGGCTCGAAAGTCAAGCGGGAAATTTAAAACTATGTCGTTCTATTGATAACATTACGCCAAGTTTCTTTTCTTTTTTTCTCGTGGTACTCTGAAGAGTCGAAAGTCCTTCTTACTCTCATTTTTGCAACTCCAAAGGCAACAAGACGGCAATATTTTTGTAAATAAGTGGTGAGATGCAGTGACAAGTTGTCAAACCGCCATTTTGGCTCGAAAACAGGCGTCATGAACCGCGGTACTTTGTAAATCTAGGGACTTTAATAGTCACAAAAAACAGCTGTTCTGTGCTACAGTGCTCACCAAGAAGTAGGATATCAAACAGACATGATACAACATCTATCATCGTTAAAAATAGAACGCATGAAGTAATGATCACGACCCAAGACATTATTTTAACCTTCTTAGGAAACAAGGATATAGATTCATTGTGGGAGGTGATCTAGATTAACAACAACGAAAGGTAAATAACTTTTGAGAGCAGGTAACCGATTAAACTGTGAAATAGTATCGACTTATCAGATCTGAGAAAAGTCCCTAACTTAATAGACTTTTTTATTATCAAAAGAAAATGAGCTCAGATCATTCCCCATACTTAGATTAGTTAATAAAAAGACTGATTAGAAGAGTTTCAAAATTAAACTCGAGAACTCCATAAACCTTTCTACACCAATAAGAGTTACAAAAACAGTTACTTACAGAAATAGAGCTGTTTGTTACGGACATCCAGCAAGTAGCATGGGAAAATACATATTTCTGGGATCAAACCTAAAATCAAGGGCAATAATAAAATTATCCCAAAGAAATTAGGGACTTGGTAACTAAAAAAAGGAAATTAAGAAGAAAGTGGCACCAGACAAGGACACCAGTGGATAAAACAGCCCTGAACAATGCTACCCAACAATTAAAGAGAGAAATACAGCGTATCAAAGATGATTCAATCGGAAGCTACCTGAAAGAATTAACCAACGACAGTAAAACTGACTACTCTTTGTCGAAAGCCACCAAAAGTCTAAAACGACCTACTCTCCAAAACCCACTTGGAGAGAGAAGTTGGATATCAGTCAACAATATAGTAAATATTCCATACAAGGAATTAATTAGATGTTTGAATTATTTAACAACAATATCTAGATCCTTCCCTTTTAGGAAGATTTTTGGATAGACCAACCATGAGTACATGAAAAGCAGCAAAGAGAGTGTTAAAATATGTCAAAAATACGAAGAATCTCTGTTTAACATATACAAGACATGATTTGAACGGAAAAATCGAAGCATACTCCGATTACTGTTGTAAACTGTTTAACTGCTGTTGTTTTTATTAAAAACCCGATAGAAAAGACCTACAAAAAGCAACCAGATTTCCAAAACACCTGGAATTGATCTTCCAAGTAAATGCAGGGGAAAACCCACAAGGTTGGAATGAACCAAGACAAGAGGATGTCGAGATTCCACTCACCACTCCAAAAAAAGTTTTGGAAGAAATCAAAACTAATATTAATCCAAAGAAAGCACCAGTATTTGATCAAACTACAGGAGAAATTTTTAAACAGCTCCCAAATAAAGCAACAGTAAGAAGACTGATTGTCATACAGGCCTATTTCCTTGGTGCCAGTAATTTCGAAATTGTTTGAAAAGCTATTTCTTAAAAGATTAAAACCGATAATAGAGGGAAAGAACTTAATCTTTTCGCACCAGTTCCGGTTCAGAAAAAGCCACTCTTCAATAGACCAAATACACAAGATTACAAATATTATTAAAAAGTTTTTATAGGGAAAGGAAGTCTGCTTTGCAATATTCCCAGATGTAGCCCAGGCTTTTGATAAACTTTGACACAAAGACTTACTTCATAAATTGAATAAAATCTTGCCACAACAACACTCTGAATTGATAAAATCATGTCGTACAGGGAGATATTTTAGAATAAAGGCCTATTCTAACATAAGAAAGAACAAGGCTGGAGTGCCACAAGGTAGTGATATTCCTGATCTTGAACAGAACACCATTGCAATGTTTGGAGATGACACAGCTATCATGGCAATAGGAAATCTACAATCCTCTATGGACAAAATAAATACTTGGACCAGAATTTGGCGTATCAGGTTGAATGAAAGCAAGTCTGTACATGCAGAATGCACCAATAATTTAAAACAGCATCTACCCAGATATATACCCATTAGAATAAATAATCTAAAATGATTCAAATAGTGATTAAATTAAATTTTATGTAAAATGAATCGACTTACAAACATTTTTAAATTGACATAAAAAAGTTAGGTTATGTCTGAAACTTCATTCCGAGATAAAAATCGTTTCCTGGCGTCTAAAATCGGTTTAAGCAAACGGTTAAGATGTTCAAAAATGTTTTTAAATGTTTCTTTCGGTTGAATCGCACCTTTTTTTTGTAAAAATTAATAATTTTTGTTACTAAATGTCAAAAATACGATTAATATGAGGAATAACCACGAGATGGGGATGTCAAAAAATTTAATAAATTTAAAATAATTCTTAAATACAAATTATGTTTATATTTAAAAAAATCGATGATTTTCGATTTAATTAAGCGTTAATATAACATAAATTAAATAAAAAGTTATTTAAAAAAAAATTAATTAATGTTTATAAATTTCACTAGATGACGCCACCTCCTACGCATCTTTTTTAAGTGACACTTTTTTGACGTTTTATTAAAAAAAATGTATTTAGCTCATTTTGTGTTAGAAATAAAACTAAAACTAGTTTTTAGTAACTAGTTTTATTTTTATTTCTTATTACATTACAGAAAACTCTACGAAAATGTTGTGACTAAAATAATTTTGTGTTTAAAAGTTTTCAACCTACCGTTACCATGGTGATTTATCAATAAGCACCGATACCATTAAAAAAATCACTTGTTGCATCAAGAGAAAGAGTAAGTACATTTCATTTTTGTAACGAATTAGTTGTTATTGCGTTGTAAAAATTATATTGTGCATTTTTCTCAACCTAACTTTTTCAAGGACTATTTAACTCATATATATACTATCTCCTATATCGCTGACTCCCTATCTAAGCAATGAGTGGCGAGCGTTTCCATCAAAAGCAGACGGAATGATATATGTTTTGTCTTTGTCGTGCCCCCATGTCGCGAAGGCGCTTGCGCGAATCGTAAATTTTAAAGAGTTTGAAGTGTTTCGCGCGTATTTTATGCAGCTTTGAAATGCAATTATTGTAGATAGTTGACTTTAATTATAAATTATCGTAGATGCATCAAATAAATTAGAATATATGTACTTTTGTGTGAAATTGACGTTGAATATTGCTTTAAATATCAACTTTATGTAGGTTGTTCATTAAACATTATATTCTTTACTTTTGTTTAGGCAACCCAAATAACAAACCAAATTTTATGTAACCATGACAATTTTGTCGATTTCAAATGTTATAAATAAAACAAGAAGCCATTATTGTATTAGATTTTAGGTTATGTTTATGTCAAACATTTATTTGGTGTTTTATAAACATCAAGATCATCAACTGCTATTAATTTTTAATTCACCGTCCAATAAGATAAAAGCGTACTCACCACGTGTTCACGCATGTCTCTTGTGTAGACGGGGGCACGACAGACACAGATATATATATATCTGCACTCTAATGTTTACACTCTTTTGCTGCCTTAGTCAGCGATATAGGAGATAGTATATATATGATTTAACTCGTCCAACAACTTCACGCGTATTACATCGTTGCTATCATCACACTTATTTAAAATAACCTATAAGAATGACAGTTAAAATTTTAAGTGTCAAACAATCACACCAGCCAACATCAATTTCTAATAAGTGTTTAAAACGTGTTATTCTTGGAATTTCGTCGTGAACGACTCCTCCAATACGTGATTACTGAGGCATTCCAGTTCTTAAGCAGGACTAAACCCTTTGAGCTAATGTAGTGAGGTGAGTGAAAAGCAAAATACTTGTGTGGTGGTTACATGTTAAAACTTTATCATAATAATCGTTATTTTTGTACTCACCGTCATTGTTGTTATCATATCCGTTGTAATCACCGTTTAAATCATTCTCATTTTCGTAGTTTTCACTTTTATAGTTGTCATTTTCGTAGTCTCCACTTTCTACGTTCTCATTTTCATCCTGGAAACCTTTTTGTTGGATATTTTTATTATCGTAATCTATATTTTTAACATCTCTTTTCTCCCTCAATAAAGTTGTATAATCAAACTCGCTCACGTTTCTTTTAATTCTTACATATTCATTTAAATCCTTTGTGTGATTAACCCAACAATTTTTTTCTTCATTTAGATTTAAATTAATTATAATCTCCCCATCGTTCAAAACCTCCCTTTTAAACCTAAATAGTTTATTAAACCTCTCAAAATCTCTATTCTTATCAAAAATGTTAATCTTAAAATCGTTATCGCGCTCAAAATCGTTTGAAATTGATCTTTTTTTCCTTTTTAATTCGTTTCTTAGTGCATAAATGCTATCGAAACTAACTAAGGTTGGGTCTAAATTACCTAAAATCTCAAATAACATATCGTGTTGTAACAAAGCTTTTAAATATAATTGGATGATTAATGGGACGTCTTCGTATTGCACGATTAATTCCGCGCTTTCAATGAAAGCTCTTTGTATATTTTTAGGTACTAAAGGTGGTGGTAATTCTTTTAACCAAGGACAAACGTGTAAAGTACAACTTGAGGGGGAAATCAAATTTTTTAATGATCTCATCACGACGTGGTGCTTTTTATTTTCTTTTTTCTCGATTTCTTTTTTAAGCGTTGTTAAACACTTCTCCATCGTAAAACAATCAATCGTTACGACGTTTTTTAACACATCGAAAGTTTCGGGGTTTCCCTCAAGTTTATTTAGGGTTAATCGCATTTCGTTTAAAACAGCGATTTCGTCGGTTTTTGAGGATAATAACGCGATTATTCCTGCTAAGTTACTAATTGTTAAACGATTCGGATACGATCCCTCAGAAAGGTATAAATAAACGTGCTCGACACAATCTAAAGTGTTATCGGGAAGATAATACATGTTTAAAAGGAGTTCTAAGAAAATCATTATCTTGGTTTCATCGTCGTCTTTTTCGCGTAATTGGTAATTTGATAAAGCGTATGAGA